CTAAGCATTATTATTATTACCATAAGATAGAGCAATAAATTGTTACTTTCTCGTTCTAAATATAATCGACAAAGGAAAAAAAAATTAATTTAAAAGTTTATTAATGTTTGGATTAGTTCAGAAGCCTAAAAGGCCTTTTAGAATACTCGCATCTTAAGACTGCAATGAATACATGAAAACGCAACCTCAAAAGCTTTAGAATGAAACCTTATTTAAGAAAAAAGCTGAAGCTCCTACGGAATATACTTCATAATACATTATTGAACTTGGGGATTTTAAAAAAAACTAATGTTTGGAAATATGTTTACAAATTCCAATAAGCTGTATTTTTGTTAACAATTGTCCAATTTCGATGAATTTTTTTTTTTGGAGGGAATTTAATAATCTTTTATAGAATCATGGGCATAAAAAAGGGAAAAGTGTGTAATTTTTTAGTTATTTGCAAGTTTCTTTTCTTTCATGACTTTTTTGTCTGGATTGGACTATTTTTTGTGCCTGAATGAGAAGGAAATGTTTGAAATTGGTGGCTCAATCTTGGGATTTGATAAAGAATTAACGATGAAATGGCTTACCGACAACAAACACCTTTGATAAACAAGATAAACTCCTCTCTCAATCATAGGGACCTCAAGTTGACAAAATGAGACATGTATTAAATAGAAACACTACAATTAACATAAGGTTGTGTGGATGTGAACCCTTTCCCTTGCATTATCTCGCACATAGTACCTTTTTAGCCTTAACAATGCAGGGCCAAGATAAACAGCAATATAGCTTCATTCGGATATATCTCCTCAATCTGTATACAGAAGAATTAAAAGTTCTAAGATCCAGGGGTGCCCAGAATAGGGTAGCATAGAGTAAGTTGCACGATCAACAATTTTGAGAGGAGCACATTTTCAAATGGTTATGAATTCATTGAGGGAAGCATCTTTGTGTGGGATTTAAATTTGGAGGTAATTTTTATTCAAGGAATAGGGGGAAAAATGTGATACAGTCACAGCAAGTGTAACTCAATAAAAATTATAATTTTGATGGTTCTACTTATACATGTATCATTTTTAAGAAGAAGAGAGGAATTCAATTTTTGGGAGGGGAGAGGGGATGGACATCTCTGATCTGAGATCTATTGAACTGTCGTTAAACATCAAGATAGCAATACATAACTTAATGCTTAATAAACAATTTATAGTGATTGTGAGAGATTTCTATTAAAATTAATCAATTCATAAATAATGTCTAAAATCATTACAGAATGAATTTCCCATGTTTCCGTGCAATAAGAAAACAAATAATCATTTCTAATAATTGAAAAGTAGTCAAAATCTGGACTGAAACAACAAAGCTGCCTTCTAAATTCGTCAGAAACAGATCCTTTTAAAATAATTACATCTTTTCCAATCCTGTATACTCCAACATACACCTAAACATAAAAAAAAAAAAGGTTGAGAACAGATATAAGTATTAATAGTTATAATGGATTACTACAGGAAGAAACAAAACTAGGAGTTGAAAATTATATTTTAGATAAACATTAATGTAATATGCATATGGTTTGATAATGAAGGCATTGCTTTCCTAATTATATTTGTAATATTCAGATGATTAGAGAATTAACAAATGCCTGTTGATAGGTCAAATATTTTTGTGAAGTTTAATCATTTAATATCAAATCCTAAATAGACAGAATCAAATGAAAAGATGAAATAATATTCTGGTTTTCAACATTGTGTCAATAATAGAAGAATAGAAAATTCCATAATTCTTTGATTTTTATTCAGAGATGTGCAGTGAATTGAACAAATGGTTTTAAATGTTAAGATTTATTCAACTTTTTGAAAAAAAAAAAAAAAATTAAATAGATAAGAATGAAGCATTACTGGTTTGTTGAATTAACCACCAGAAAGAAGTATGGAGCTAAAATAAATATTTAAGAGAATTACAAAAGGAAATTTTAACCACAGTAGATAAAACTTACCTGGAGAGCAAATTGATAGAAAACCCCCTTTTTCTGACTGAGCAGAAATAATCATGCCAACACATCAATAAAGAGATGGGTTGAGCTGAAACCTATTAAAAAATTGGATACCAGTTTGTTTGCTTTAAAGTTCATTAAAAAAAACTGCACATTTATTTTGTAAGATTGAGATAGAATTATTTCCTGTTTCACTTAATTCACAAGTTTTTTTTTTAATATATTGCTAAAAGAAAATGTAATAAGATTATCTATATCAAGACAACTAAATATAAATCAATTTATGACAGACACTACACCAGACCAGTGGTGACATATGGAAGTGAGACATGGGTTCTCACCAGGAAGTCAGAGCAAGTGCTGAAAGTGTGGGAAAGTCCTGAGAAGGATTTTTGGTTCCATGAGGGAGGGAGATCGGTGGAGGTAGAGGAACATCAGGAGCTCTGTGATCTATACCCGAATATTGTCATCTGCACCAAGAAGCGTAGAATTAGGTTGCTGGAGCATTTGCAGAGGATGGAAGAGTGGCTTATCCCGAAGAAGAGGGCGTCCCAGATTGCGGTGGCTAAAGAACATGGAGGAGGACCTGAGGACACTTGGAGTCCGAAGGTGGAGAAGAGAGGGTTTGGACAGGGACGAATGGCAGAGAATTGTGGAGGAGGTCAGGATTCTGCAAGGACTGTAGTACCTTCGAAAGAAAGAAAGATAGACACTACACCAACAAGATGCTCATTGCGGAACTAAATTAATAGTTTTTAAATTAAATATTGAATATAAATAAATCATTACGCAAAAGAAATGATTGAATAATGAAGACCATCAGATTCTTATTGAAACCATCAGATCAGTTTAATGAAAAACAGAAAAATTTATAGTCAATTCAAGTAAACATGAGGTAAAATTATCTCAACAACTCCTCACACTGATCAGAACTAATGGGTTGTCAAGAAAACAATGCAGGATTTTGAGTTTTATTTAAAATACTCATCTACCTAACAAACTGTTTATGTTTACTGGATTATTCATTTGTACGAATGTCAACACTAATTAATCCTTTTCCAAATGATAATGTATGTTTACCTCTGTAGCATTTCGCTGCTTAGAAATCATTCAGTCTTTACTAAGATGTCAACACGTGATTTTCGTATAGTTTTGTTTTACAAGTTTAAACTCGGCTGGAATGGGGCCCAGAAGATAGAAACATCAATCAAGTCTGGGCTGAGAACAGCATGAATGAGTGCACTGTTCAACGCTAGATCAAAAAATTTTAAGAGATAAACTTCAGCCTTGAAGACAAAAGTCGTGGAAGGACTTCCTCTCTTGATGAGGATGTTCTTTAGAAGAAAACCCCAGAATAAATGTTAGGGAACATGCAGAGAAACTTAAACTTAGCAATGATGTAGAGATGGTTGACCGTTTTTATAATATGAGGAGTTAGTCGAGGGTGAGGTCAAAAAAATAATAAATTAAAATATATTAATTATTTTAATTTATTATTTTTTTGACCTCACCCTCGACTAACTCCTTCTCATATTAAACTTAGCAAGTCGACCATCAATGACCACCTGAAGACGATTGGGAAGGTAAATAAGTTTGAAAGTTGGGTTCTTCATACATTAAACAACTGCCAAAAAAGCCAGTGTTAGGACGTTTGTGCTATACTTTTTGGCTGAAACAAGAATTGTTCTTTTCTGTCCAGATTTGTTATATGTGATGGAAAGTGGATACTTTACGATATCAGCAGAAATTCTGGACAGTGACTTGACAAAGGAGAAGCAGCAGAACATTTTTCAAAGCCCCAAACTCATTAAAAAAAAGCTGATGGTTACTGTTTAGTAGACTTTATTTGGTTTGATACACTACGGCTTCTTAAATCCTGGTGGAACCATCAATGCCAAATCGTATTGTAACCAAATTAATGCAATGGAGCAGACATTGACAATAATGAAGCCATCTTTGGTCAATCGGAAGGGGCCCATTTTGTTGCATGACAAGGCGCGGCTATATGTCTCACGTGTGACGTCATTAAAACTGTTTGAGCTTGGATATGAAACTCTGCCACATCCCGCCCTACCTCTCAGATCCGGCCTACGAATTATCATTTTTTTAGACATCTGGACAATTACTTACGTAACAAAAAAACTAGTGGACAAAGGGAATTATAAAATGCGCTTTAGAGTTTATCAATTCTAAAGATGGGAAATTTTATTCCAAAGGAATGAAAAAGTTGCTAACACGTCGCCAGAAATGTATTGATAGTCGTGGAGACTATTTTGATTAAATAAAACAGTTGTAAATCTTTCTTTACTAACCATAATCCTACATTATTTTCTGTAATTTTTGGGCTTGGCATCAACTGGAGATGAGGACCTTTTAGAGTTTAAATCAAGAGATCAACTTAGTTGTAATAAATTATTATTAATAAAAAACAATTCTTAGATAAGTGTGTGAATCTAGTCACGTTAAGCCCTACTTATACAATTATTAAGTAAATTTCTAATAGAAATCAAAACTAGTAAATTGATCTCATTGGATTCATTTTATACAGCTTAATTAACTACATAGCTTTTTTGCTGTAACAGGTAAGTGAAAATGGAATGAGAAATATCACCCAAATCACTACAGGATATAAATGCTGTAGTTAAAAATTAATCAGGCTATTATTAAACATGGTATATGATACATAAAAGAAAAACATTTAAAAATCCTAGAAAGAATTTTTTTTTTTTTTTCATATCAGACATATAGCAACAGCTGAGCAAATAGATCAAAATACAATAATGCCAACAAGAACAAGTCAATGCAAAATCCAATATGAAGTTTTTTCACATAAATTTATAATGCATATACCTTACATTTAATTCTGAGGAAAAAGTAAGGAATTCACTATTTTTACTCCATACAATCTGTTCAACAGAAATATGTTGATCTGTTTGTACAGAATATACTTCTTCTGAATTGAGGTTGATAATTTTCAGTGTTATAGGATATTTTTTATCAATAAAGGAAATGTATTCAGAATTTGGAGAAAATTTCACACTCTGAAAAAAAGAAATAAAATAAGATTAAAGCTTCACTTTAATATTTTTTAAATTAACAAAACAAATTAAAAAATTAAGTCAGGGAATACAGCTTCTACTTTATTTATTGAGATTCAAAACAAAATGTTAGAATCTTTGATTAAAATCTAAAAGATTTATTGAACATATGTTCTAATAACTTTCAAGGATACATGTTACATACAATTTGTAAATTTAATAGTAATGTTATGTTAGGAAAACTATACCTCAGCCTCGGGATATGCGTCAAACTCCTTTATGACAGCAAGAGAAATGGAATCAACAAGGGTCAAAATGTTGTCTTTATTTGTAATAAACTTTCGACCATCGCAGGAAACCTCAAAAATACCACCCTCCGTAAGTAATGGCGAGGAATATACAAATATGTTACTTCTTTTTGCCATCTATAAATTATTAATGGTAATTAATCATTAATCGCCCAGCTCAAATAAATGAGATGAAAATAATGGTAAACCAAAATGTGAAAGGACTAGTAAAATGAAATCAAAGAATATTTCCATTAATTTCCACAAAATTGACTATGTAATAAGATACATACATGTATTAAAACAATCACTAGTATTCCTTGAGTATTAACAATGTTGTAATCAATTACAGTGATTAGTGTATTTTTAAAGTTTAAAATGAATACTTGTATTAACCACTGTTCAGTAACACTATACAATTTTTATAAAAAGTAGAACAGTTAAGATTTATTAATATCTAACAATCAAATTCATTCACTAAAAAATATGATTAAAAGTATCTGAATAATAATAATAATAATAATACTTGGAGAATTTAGTTGGAATGTTAAAGGATAATTTAATGTAAAACAAATAAGTAAAATAATTATTTTGATAAATAAAAATAAAAAGCATAATATTTTCAATCCTCATTCTGGTACCATCATAATTAATAAAACAGTAACATTATAAATATAAGTAATGCAAAAAAATGTATAAATATAAAGTACCTAAGGAAATTGTATAAAAAGTGACACAAACCTTTTTATTTTCAACAGAATGTATTAGTTGTATCAAATAAACATAAGAGAAAAAATATTTAAAAAAAGTAATTGAAAACCTCTAACAACATAAACTGATACTCTTCTTTTAACACAAATTTGACGACTTTAAAAGATAGACATTTAATAAGCAACTTTAAATACAAAAATGAATACGAATTGACAATACCTCAACATTTCAGTTGTTCATAATAATGACAATTCCACTAAGGTTACAAATCATTTTGAAAACTAAATTGCGGGAATTGATTACGAGCCAACGAAATAACTGATACGCAAGCGCACTGTTACTATTCCTTTGTATTTATATTTTACAGGTGCTATTTCAATATAATATTTTTAGGTGTTTGTTAAAGTATTTATACCCACTATACTTAAGTATAAATTAAGTTAGTCACATCGAAAAAATTTATTCTGCCAATGCTGGGGAAAAAACTATTGAAATGCACCTTATCACTTGCCTCAAGGTCATGTCAAGGTTGTAACTATCAGCCCTTTACAGTGTCAGGGGTTGCCTACATTTTTCACCAAGCTAAAAGAGACGTTTCATCCGGTGTTCAAGCCAAAAATATGGATCCCGAAAGGCAATTTTTTGTTGGAGGAAACTGGAAAATGAATGGAAGCAGGAGAGAAATTGAAGATCTGTTGAAGAATTTAGAAAAGGCAGATTTGAACCCAGAAGTTGGTAAGTAGGTCTTGAGAAATTTGAGGTGCCAACTAAGAGTGTAACAATGTATGAATTTTAACTTATTTTTTAAAATGTTACAGAGGTTATAGTGGCTCCTCCTTCAGTATATTTGGAATTTTCTAAGTGTAGAGTGCCAAAGAATATTATGTTGGCTGCTCAAAATTGCTTCAAAGTTGCCAAAGGAGCATTTACAGGTTGGCTATGCTATATTAATTCTCAATTATTTAAATATTTTTAGATTTTAAAGAAACATTTCTAATAGATTGTTCATCAATTGTTCTTGACTATATTTTAAACCATAGCAATGATTGGCTAGTTTTATTGATAAATCCAACTTACTTGGATCTCTTAATTGTATAGTTCATTTAATGTTTGGTGTATCTATTGATAAAGAATAATTATACTCTGTGAATATTTTGCAACCCTTTTTATCTTTATTTTACCAATAATAGTTTATGCTGTATTCCTTCTATTAGTTATTTTCCTGGATACGCCCATGTTTCAATTGATGGGTATTGTGAAACATAATTATCTGATTCATGACCCCTATTGAACTGGTGGAATTGATTGTTAATAAAACTAAGATTACCACCTCTAAGGTTTTACTAACATTTATATTTTGTTACTTATTACTACACTTTTAATCTGTTGTGACATTATATAATCTTCAAATAAATTGTTTTTTAAATTACTTACCTGAGTGAACAAGATATTGTTCAAATATTGGAATCATTTCTTTTAAACTATTTTTGTTGGTCTAATTATTATAGTTTTAATTTAATTGATTTTGAATACAAATAATCTACATAATATAATGTATAAATTATTTCCTTAAGAATTTATGATAGAATTTAGTATATTTTAATATATAATTGTAACTACAATCACGGTCAAATGGATTTGTACACAGTTATTATTATATAAAATATGCCATTTTTTAAAAATTTAAAATAGTAAAACAATTGAATAATAATACCATTAATTTAATTAAAAACATTTGTACTGCAAAACTATTGGTTAGTAAAATAATCCATCAACATCATGAATCAAAAGTATCTGTTCGTTTTATTATAATTCCAAATTTATATTAAACCCTGTAATACTATTTAGTAAAACCCCTTATTTATTTTTATTGTTTGTGTATATATTGTTTTTAGTTTATATTCATCATGTTGTGGCATTAAATTTATTAGTTTTTGTATTTTTACAGAAATTGTGTTATACTATTCCTTTAAATTATGAAAATTAGAAAAATTCCCTTTTCTGACTTGATCCATCAGACGGTGATTGATGTAGAATTACTATCCATTTCAATATATGTATATAGATTTAATATCATATTTTTGTAAACTATGTGTTTGGGGTCATTGTCTGGTTGAAAAATAGAATTCTCCCCTTTTCCTATTTTTTTTTGTCATTATTTAGGGGATTTCTGTGTAAAATGTTAACATATTTTATCTGATCTATCATACCATCTGTAAATTCACGTGAACCCTCTGTAACATGGCAACCCTTACTCCAGGCCATGGTCACCGTTATTTATAAACAGATGATTTTCACTAGGCACTTGTTTTTCATTTTCACACACTTGGTTTGTAGAAATTGTATCATGAATAATTACAATTGAGAATGCTTTAAAAAATTTCCTGAGAATGTAAGGAAAATATTTCTTTAGAGAAAGCTCTTGTACCGACCTTATTGTACCCATCCTTGGATATTCTTGCATTTTCAGACATTTTCTTCTGGATTTATTTTTGGCTTTTCAGAAATCTATCTTCTAGACATCAAATTAAATGGACAGTTGTCAAATCTATTTGTAACAATAGTAAGCCGAAAAATAATAGTTCATTGTATCTGCTGCTAGTCTTAATCTGGTCATATCACTTCAGAATCATACTTATCACCCCAGACCATTCGTGACTTTCCTGGATGGTTTACAGTGGGGACTATATTTCTTGTATCCATTGCAGCATTTACTTTTTACTTCCACAGTTATCAGATCTTTCAATTTTGCATCAGTCAGGGAATATTAGCTGATTCCAAAAATCAGTGATATTTTTAATAAGATTAAAAAAGGTCAGAATGTGTAGTAACCAAAATTTGTGTTTATTGAGTTTGCCTACATTTCAACCTAGAAGTGTGGTCATCATCAGATCAATAGTTTGAAGGCTGGACAAGAACTGAGACAAAAACTGATCTTTTTTATATATTCTTTGGCCTGCATAAAATTAAAATTTTTACAAGCACATTTATGAGAGATTTTTTTTTTTTTTCGTTTTTCTTCATATCAGTTCATTATTTTGTAAACATGGTTGTATGATTCACATGTTTTAACAATATTTTCCTCCAACATCTTGATGATGTTTGTCCAACAACATTAATTTAAGTATTAATCCTTGGATTTTTTTTTACTTTTCTTGTAAAAAGACTTTCAGATGCGAAATTAATGTTTGTAGGGTGTCCATTTCTCGAATTACAAATAGTGGTCCAGTCAAATTCACATTTTCTATTGATCAATAATGTATTTTACAGTAGAATAAGGATCTGTTCGCTATTTTGCCTATTTCCTGGAATGATCGGCACTCATTCTGTAAGTGTATTGCCTCAGTGGTTTTTCTTGATTTTAGCAATCTAAACCATAGTAAGAATAATATTCATACCTTCACATACATAAGTGGTCTTGTTAAATATTAATAAAAGCTTTAATATAAATTTAATAGAGTAAATTTAGAATTATAAAAAATAAATTCAAAAGTTTATAAATACTTTTCACTCGTATAGTATATTTATTATTCTGTATAATATATTTATAGGGCAATTTTTATGATTTTTGAGGTTAATGTTAAATAGTTTTATTTTTAAAGATATTCTCTTCTAATCATGTAATATTTTTAATTTTATATATTTTAAAACTGGAGTACGTATATTTTTAGCCCTGTCAGTACATTTTTAACCAGCTGCTAAGCATTAATTTCAGCAAACAAAATTTAAGGAAAAATTACAATTGGAAAAAATAAAAATAATAGCACTTTTGTTCCATGTCCCTTAAAAATAAATGAATGGTAGTAGAGGTCTCTGTTTTAGTAATAATTAGCTACTCATAAGGAAATATGGGTTATGTTCTGATAAAGGCATTTTTTCTATTTAATGGGCTGTAAAAAAAAAAAAAGATTATTTATTGTTTATCAACAATGGACAGACTCAATAAAGCCTTAGTTCAGAAGGTTTTATTGACAAAGCAATATGATGAATCTTGAAATCAATAAAACTGAAGGAGGTGTCCTTGACATGCAAACTGCGCGGCATTAGTTTTTAAAAATTGTCTAAGTCCTTGGAAAGGAAGAAGGGCTCTAGACTGTCATCAATTCAGATTGGTGAAGTTCTTCAGTAAGCTTTTAATGAAATCGATCCACAAGTACTCGTGATGTTGTCGAGGGGAGTGTGGAATGCTTAAAGACACTATGCTTCACCATCTACACACCATGGGCAAGGTAAAAAGGAGCAGTTAACTGGTACCACATGAGCTTTTGTCCCAACAAGCCATTAAGAGGGTGGAGATAAGAAAAATCCTTCTAATTTACGGTTTTAAAAAACAGTGTCACTTGTGATGAAAATTGGGTTTACTGGCAATATCTTGACACCACTATACAATGGTTAGATCGAGGTCAAATGGCTTTTTCGGTTGCTGCAAGAGTTCAGTTTGAAAAAATCATTGCTTTGCAGTTTTTGAACTACAAAGCAGTAATCTATCATGAATTTGTTCCTGATGAATGTTCAATGAACTCTGACCTCTATTGTGTACAGTTAGATAGAAAGTAATTGATACTGTCACAACATTATCCAGCATTGGTCAACTGCAAAGAAGTTCTGTTCCAGCTCCAGTCCTGACCACATTCTTTCCGACAGGTCATGGAAAAATTTTAAAATCTTGATGGTATTCAAGCTTCCACATCCATCATACTGTCAAAACCTTGCTCCAGCATATTTTTTTTTTTGTTTTGATCCATGGCCCACTTCTTGAAAAGAAAAAATATTAATACTATAATATTTAGAAAAAATGTTTAATTTCACGAAGCTGAAACAGTGGTTCAGAAATTTTGGATAACCATCCTAATGAGTGATACCTGCATGTGATGAAGCAACTGGCCGAAAGATGAGGAATGGCAGTGCACCATATTCATATTTTGTTTTGTGAGATTTATCCTGTTTTATAGAATGAAAAGTATACCGACCATTGGAAACTTCAACTCTATTAAAAAACTTTTCATTATTATTTTTAATGAAAGTTATATATTTAAAATTGGTCTGGTCTATGCAATATATACATAGGAACCTATAATTCCTGCCTTCATTTATTCTTTCAAACCTTCAATGCTCTGTGTTGTTTGATAATAATCGTTATTATAATAGTTGATTATAATCTTGAATTTCATTTTCAATATTACATTTCAATTTTTTTTTTTATCTCTTTGTTAACTCAAGATCTGATAAGATTTCGATGTATTAATGTTATAAATTAAACAATATTGATGATACGTTCATAGGTGTTAATTACACCATTTTACGTATTTTGGATTTATATTGCACAATTTTGCACATTTTGAGTTTTTTACTGTACGTTTTCCGGATTTTATTGCACGAAAATCCGGTCTCTACTTATCACCCATTCACAACATATCAAAGGAAAAAAATTCTACACCTCTTTTCATTCATTATTTTATATAACAAAGTTTTGTTTTTAATTGCCTGTGACAATTTATTTTTCACAAATAAAAAACTTAGCTGTCCATCACAACTAATTTACTTGTCGAGAAATTAATTCCAAACGACAACTAATAGTATTTTTTTTTTTATATTACCCTGTTTTTACAAGTATGATTTCAGCTTGTTGGCCTCTTCTTAATTAAGGGAGTATGGTCTAACTTTTGCGGGGATCAGCCATTCTGAGAAGTTGGGAAGATCTTCACTTTATTAGTACAGTGTTCTAATCACTCTGGCTATACCGGCCATGAATTTTCTTATTGGTTGTTGTTTATTCACGAATAATTTAACTACAGCAGAGGCTATATAGTTAAAATTTTATTTAGATAAATGATTATTTAAATAATATCCAACTGTGATATATTTATATATTTGTATTATATTATTATTTTGCAAAGTTTGTCCATTTTAAATGCTTATACAGCCTTGTGTTAATTATTTTAGAATGATTATGCCCGATCACGTTCTGTTAATAATTTTAGTAATTCAATTTGTTGGATTTGAGTTTATTACTATCATTATAGTGCTAGACTGAAGAGTTTTATTTGTTATCTGTTTAATTTAAATAATGGTTCCTCCATTGAATCTTTATTTATATTTAAGTAGGAATAATAACTTTAAATTGCCTGAAATAATTTATACTTAAAATACCATTTTCTTTTTAATTTTGCTTCAGGTGAAATAAGTCCAGCTATGCTGAAAGATATTGGGATTGAGTGGGTTATCTTAGGGCATTCTGAGAGGCGCCACATTTTTTGTGAAACAGATACAGTAAGCATTCTATTTATAGCATTACATTTCAATTTTAATTGTTTGAATTATTGATATATATAATTTTAATTTTCATTATTTTCTTAAGGTAGTTAAAAATCATCAAATTTAGTTATAAATATATGTAATTCTATTGAATAACATTGACTAGATTTTTTAGAGCCTTTCTTTAGAGATATCTCTCGCTGCTTCTGTTAAATTTTAACAGATTGGGAAATTGCACATGGAACCCAGGGCCAGTTAAAAATAGTCTAATTAATAATTAAAGTTTCATTAGTTGTTAAAAATTTAAAATAATATACTATTAGGTATTATTATTATTAATAAGGTTTAGCGAACCTGAAGGTTCATTGCCGATACCACCAATTGATGTCCACATTCTTCTATCCACTGGGCTCCATCTAGACCCTACCCCGTCAAATCAGCCTTAACACAATCTACCCACCATCGCTTCGGTCTACCCCTCGGAGTCAGTACAGCGCATATTATTTTTGTAGGAATTCCTTCGTTACTAAGCCCAGCGATTTTACATGTCCATTTTATTCGTCTCAACTTAATCACCTCAATTATATTAACCGGATACAGCTCACACGATTTAGCGTTGTGTAACCACCTAAATACTCCAGTTGGCTCATCCTTTTTCGGTCCAAATATTCTACGCAATACTTTATTTTCAAAAACGTTAAGACGTTGCTCACCCCTTAACGTAAGCGGCCACGTTTCACATCCATAAAGAACCTGTTTGGTAAAGAAAAATATCAAGCATTTCCCCCCTTCAGCCTAACCTTAATATCCTCCTCAATTTTGTTTTTTTTAGTTATCGTAGACCCTAGATATCTAAAATTCTGTACATGTTCAAAAACATTCTCTCCTATATCGATATCATGGAAATTGTCGCTATACTAATATACCTAATATACTATTAGGTATTTCATATAAAATATAAATTATGATTTATTTACTCACAGACACACTCACACATATATATATATATATATATATATATATATATATATATATATTTATAATCAGGTGGGAGTATGCGCTGGATACATAAATATCAATTGAATTAAAATATATATACATATATACAAGTTTATTGATTGTAATACATATATTTTGCCTCATTAAAGGACTAAAAGTCTTCATTCATCAATTGAAATTGAATTGCCTTAATTGAATGCACTTAATTTTTATAGATAGTTTTACTATTTATAATAGTATTCTGTTTTGTTTAAAAAATATTCTACCTTAAAATAATATAATTCTACATAAACAAAATGTTCCTACCCTCTTATTAAAATTAGTTTATTTAATTGTTCTGAAGTAACATAAGATTATTAATTTATCATGTTTTGTGTTTTACAGCTCATATGTGAAAAGGTTAATCATTCCCGGTCTGAAGGTTTATGTGTGATAGCATGTGTAGGTGAGAAATTGGAAGAAAGGGAAGCTGGTAAAACTCAAGAAGTTATTTCTCAACAAATGAAAAGTATTGCTGAGGGTGTCAAAGATTGGTCTGGAGTTGTGATTGCATATGAACCAGTATGGGCTATCGGCACAGGGAAAACAGCAACCCCCGACCAGGTACTTTCTTTGCTTAGAACATATTTTTGTTTCTGCCAGATATACTTCTATTATCTCACTCCTCTCATCACATTCATTTTCAGTTGCAATGTATTTGCTCTTTTTTCAAGAGATTTTATAGTGATCTTCGAACACCATTTTTCTGTTAAAATGTTTCTGATAGATTTTAGTTAAAGAAGGTATCAAAACAATTTTCTGACTATGGTTGTGAAATGATCATGTTACTTCTCACATTAAAATTTGATTAAATTTATCATATAAATAAAGGCTTGGTGAGCACCTGGTTTTAATGCCGATAGTAAAAATAGCACATCCACTGACCTCCATTAAACTCAAGTTAGCATGAAGGCTTGACATAATCCTTCCATCTCCATCTTGGTAGACCCTCCTGATGTTTACTGCTGTAACTATCTCTAATTATCATTTTATTGATTCATTTGTTACCAAGCTACACAACTATTTTTACTTTCACTTACCTATATATGAAATATATAGTTAGAGACAGTATTGCGATCGTGAAAATTTTTGAATCTGAGTTTTCAACGAAATACATGTTTTAAGGTCTCCTGAGTCCAAATAACCAAGTCCTGCAAAATGGTCTGTGTGTCTGCATGTATGTGACAGGTCTAATAACTCAAAAACGAAAAGTTTTATGAAATTGTGAAGTTGCTTTTGTGAAGGTTTGTATATACCTGAGATGTTACAGCAACTTTTTCGTCAAAATCGGCTAACCAGAAGTGGCAATTTATATTATCGATGAAACACATTTTTACTATTTTCTTGATAATGGCTCAAACGATTTTGATTAAATTCATTATATCAGTATAAAATTAAGCAGGTTTTAATATTATATAGGTTTTATTCTCATTGATGTTCTCTAACAGGGCTTAAATGGCAAATGTTCAATATTAGCTTCCTCTAAAGTAGCTTTAATTTTTTTATTTGAAACAATTAACCATTTCACATTTATCTCTAATATAAAAAATAGTTACATATAAAATATGTAAGCATTTGATAATTAACTAAAGGAGAAATAAGAGATCATAACAAAATAGTTGTAATGAAGGAACCAAAGTGATAAAACAGCATGCCCGAGCTTGTCCGAAGATTAAAACAGATTTCCATAGAAACATGAGCTAAATATAATACATACGGACTCTGACAATATTATGTACATATACATACACGGTTTTCCTTAATGTTTTCGTTGGTATTATTTATTATTTAATAGTATAGATTAAAGCGATATAAATATTTTGAAATTTGTATATAATAGTACTTAAATAAAAATATCTACAATGAAATATTAATCAATATAGCGTTTGTAATTTTTACATTCACTTCTGCTTTGTCTGAAAATACTTATTTCTGCTAAGAAGAGGGTGGTAAGTGAATGTTGTGTGATGTGCACATCGTACTAGATTTGTTTACTATAGCAAGGGAGCTATGTATTTTTACTCTAAATTTTGTTTAGACCAACAGGGATGCCATGGCAAAATAAGTTTTATAACCATTGTTTAAACTATTATTTTCTGATTTCTAGAGAGTGAAAGTTAAATAAATGAAGAAAAAGAGTTAGTTTGTTTGAACTTGCTTATTTCAGAAACTACCAACTTCAAATCAAAATCAAAACTTTTTTAGACCAACATGGATGCCATGGCAAAATATGTTTGATAGCCATTGTTTTCTACTATTATTTTCTGGTTTCTAGAGAGTGAAAGTTAAATAAATGAAGAAGAAGAGTTAGTTTGTTTGACCTTGCTTATTTCAGAAACTACCAGTCTGATATAAAAAAAAAACTCTTTTTGCTTTAGTTACACCATATTTTGAGGTAGGTTTTAGGCTTTATAGCACCATACTACAGAACCTGTTTTTTAAATCTTTCATTCAATCCCGTCCCGCCTAATCTCGTCCTTCTGACTTCAACCCTCCACCCCAACAATTCAACAAATTCTTTCTAACTTGAGCTGCCTCCTTTTGGAACTCTATTACGCTTACCATCCACCATGTTCCAACAGTTTCGTCATTCAAATCTCTCCTCTTCAACCACCTTTACCTCATCCAACCCAATTAATATTATTTCCTACAAATTTACTTTCTCATATATTTCAAATTTTTCCTTAAGTTCATTCTAATGCTTTTTTAGTCAGGTGTGTCATTTGGTCTGCATACATATGATCTTGTTTTGTTTTTTTCTGTCATGATGATGGCTGAATTGGCAAAACGCTATTAAGTTATTTGTTTAACAGTATTTTGTATAGTTTTGGCTTTAAGTTTATTATATTCCAGATGTAATCTAACAATATGATGTATTCATTATTATGATCTGTTTAACGATTTTTCCAGGCTCAGGAAGTACATTGCAGAATACGTGAATGGCTCAAAGAGAATGTGTCACCCACTGTTGCTGCATGTACACGCATTATTTATGGAGGTTCTGTTACAGGAAAAAATTGTCGTGAACTTGCAAAACAGTGTGATGTTGATGGTTTTCTTGTTGGTGGCGCTTCGCTAAAACCTGAATTTATTGATATTATCAATGCTACAAAACAAAAGTAGTAACCTCATATTTTATTTATGAAAGGTTACATTATCCTAAATAAAAATTGAAATTAAAACTGCATTTTTAATATATTTATATATATTTTTTTATATTCAATCAAAGCCATAGTTGAAATACTCATTAAAAAGCGATAGAAATATTGATTTAATTTATGCAAAATATAATTTCCAATAATCTTCTAAAATAACAATGAGTTCTGTATATCAAAAGAAAATTATTTTCTTTGTTGACTTCAAAATAGGTGAAAACTTGTAACATTTTATATTATTTACAATTCACTCTTAAATTGAAATGTTAGCTATTGAATGGGGTATAGTACCTAATTTTTTTTTAACTCGACCTTTCAATCAATTAAGCAGATAAGTGCAATTTTTCATTTAAAAAGTTACCATAATAATGATTGATTTCTAAAAATTACTACAAATTAAATATTTATTTATTTATTGTAAACCATTTAAAAGTATGTAAAAAATTGTAAATTTTTATTTCCTGAAAGTTCAGCAGTACATCTTTGTTCAACTTTATCCTTGTTATAAACAAATTTATGAATTACTGATGTGAAAACTAGGATAATTTTTTTTTTAATGCTAATTATTTATAGTACCAATATTTTAGTGCCATATCACCTAATTTATTTTATATTTTAGAAATTATTTTATATTAAAAAAGAAAGTTAATTACTTTAATGAAACTACAAGATTCTTTTTAAAAAAATATTCAAAATGTGAACAGATAATGAAATATATTTTGTATCATACTAATTTTCAATCATCTATCATGGTACGATTGTTACTATCAATTAAATGAAACTTCTATTAAGATTAGTGTATTAGAAATTTACTTATATTATTCCATTTTATGCCTTATCTTCTTTTGTTTTTATCTCTAAAAAGTTATTAGTAGTGTTCGAGAAGAACTGTTTTAAATGAACACATAATGTAGAATCTGGTTATTTGTATATTTTCTTAAGCTTCAGTCTTTTTTGAAGAGAAGTAAAGAAATATATTTTTTTAAAAACCCAGGACAGTTCTCTTAGTTTGAAAAATGTATTGACATTAATAAAAGGCTGATTTGTTTTACATTTTGTGATAAAATAGTACAGTAATTTATTTTTATACAATAACCTTTCTTTTTTTTTTTCAATTTTAAGTGAGAATTATAAATTCTAATATTTTATAAAGGTCGGAGGATATTTTTATAAATTTTCAAAGGTTATATTAATTATGAAATGAAATATATTTGTGTACAACTTGAGTTTTTTCTTTTAATTCCCATACATTTCTGTCTTGTGTTGATTAACAACTACATAAAATATGACACTAAATAAAAGCATGTTTTCTTTATCACTGGTAAATGTAAGCTGCCCTCACACTTTGTTTACATGCCTGATATTGAGCATGTTTAGCAGGGTCTTTTATGGTATTGGATAAATTTTCTTAATCTACTTCTAAGCATTTAGCACTTATTTAGGATACAAGGATGTTCAGGTCATCTTTTTATTAACAGTAAACTTCCTTTCTAAATAATTTTTAGTTATGGGTTGATGGTTGACTGTAGTCAAGAGATGGTCATGGGTTGATGGTAATAAAAAAAACTTAAAATAGTGAATAACTATTTTATTTTAAGACAATGTTTTGATCCAACTATGCAGGTAAAACTGTAGGATTTTATCATTTGTATCTTGTTAGTTCTAACCCTGACGAAGACTTGCATAGTTGGGTCGAAACGCCTAGAAATTAAATAGTTTTTCACCTTTTTATGACTACGACTCCAGACCATCTCTTTCCTCCTAATATTATTCTTCGTTAATTCTATTAATCTTTAGTTAAAGATTTTATTAGCACGTTATGAGGTGATTCTGGTCATATATATTACATTTGTTAATTTGGAATGCATGATTACACCACAAGAATCTCTTATTAAAACAAACCAAGTTTCAAATTTCGAGATCTTTGCTATTCAGAGCTCAGTCTGCTTATCGCTTAACCCAGGGCTCTCCAAACTACAGCCCACCTCCGTTAGCACTTCTGATCTGGTCTGCTGAAAATTCTTTGATTATATATTTAAAAAATATGAATTTTTAAAGTAATTTAAAAATGAGGTTACTACAACATTATTGCATGAATCGTTTCTATAAGAAAAAAAAAATAAAGCTCATTGAAGTGTTGTTTATAGAACAAATTGTTATTGGCTTGTTTTTTATCACAAAACATGGCCTGCGGGGCTCAGTTAGGGTCTCGATGTGCTCCAAAAAGTTTGGAGACTCCTGGCTTAACCCACATCTGTTGGAGGGCTGATTTCATTCCACTATTATATATTGTAATTGAGTACACGATGGATGATCACTTTTGGGGCTTGGAGTCCATAGTGAGGATTAGCAGTTATTTCTCAATGGTTCCAGACATGAATGTTGACACTTCCACTCTGTTAATTACGGGGCAGCTATCTCAAGGTAACTATTAGTTTAGCAAAAACGGTTTCAAGGTTCAGCTGCCCTACTAATTCTTCCTACCAGTAGTCTAATTACTACATTCAGCTGTTGAAAATAATTTATAATGGGAGGACATCAGCCCTTTCAACAATTAATATATTGCCAATCTTTCTTTCTTACAGTTCACTGAAATTGAAAAGTTTTTATTTATAATTGCAGAATTATAGTAAGCTAATGTCCAAATCTTTAAAATGCAGGAAAAAAAAAAAGGTTTGGGTATTCATTGATTGCTAGAAAGGAAGGAGTGGATCAATACAAGTGCGGATCCTAGAAGGTAAATATTTCGCGACCCATCCTCCAAAGAAAGTTTTAACGTTTAAAAGTTTAGTGGCAATAACTTTAACGATTTGTATTTACATTTGGTCGATCGTACCGCCTATTAGATACTGAGAGCCAAGTTGCTGAGAGAGACAGAGCCTATCTGTACGTTTTGACAAAAAAGAGGGATCTCCCTCATCTAATGTCCAAGAAGAACTACTCGCGCCACAAGATCTTTTTGCATGGGTTCATTTAAGTATGGGTAGAAGAGGTGAAGCTCCACCAAGTGGGTTGTCAGAGAAGTTGGAAGGGGACTGTGAAGTGTAAAAGATGAATTAAGAAGTGCCTAGGGATAGCAGCGTATGTATACTTATTAGTATAAATAATTAATAGTTTGGTAAATAGTCATGGTTAGGTTTTAGATAAATAATTTGTCTGATAATTTTAATTGAATATTATAAAGGTGGGAGATTTATTATTTATTTTAGTTTTTCAAAAACCTTTTCGATTATTATAAAATCTTCAAGTTAGGATATTTAAAAAAAAAAAAAGAAATGAGTGGCCTTTTCCTTTCTGTGGTTTATTTCGCACGTAGCTTAGCCTTTCCCTATAGACTAGGAGCTACCGACCATTTCATTTAACAGAAGGATTTGAAGCTAGGGTATCCATTTTAAATTAAAGATAAACCTCATCTGAACACACAACTTCGGTCAGTTGGTCGAATACCATTGCTTTCTATGCGATAATTTAAATTAAAGAGGCGAAATTTTACGGCTCTTTCAACGGAAGAATATACGACTGAAATTTTGATATGATGTCAAGAATATGTCCCTAAAAGAGAATTCACCTTAACTGACGATGTACTCTATTGCATTTTGAAAACTGGTGCCTCAAAGTCATAAAATTAGGCCAGTCCGACGGTAGTTGAACGAGGAAAATATTCAAATAGTCGATTTCTCTTTGGATTTCTATGTTTTGCAGATACTGAATCTGAATTAGATGTTACTTTAATAAAATTTTCCATTTCATACCGAGATATATCAAAAAAAGCGGAAAAATTTCCAACTTCTTTCAGTTTTATAAAAATGACTCCGAAACAATATATTATATTGAAATTCTTAATATATACAAAGTTAAAGAAGATAAAATTTACCATCAATTTAAACGTAGTTTTCTTATGTAGGTCCAACGGGTGAGAAGCTAGAGAATGTTGACAGTTCGCTTATTTCACAAAAAAGTATATGTTTTCGTCGGTTTTTCCTTAAAACTGATAACCTATTCATTTCTCGAAGAAATTCAATATCATCAATTTAAAAAAGCATTAAATTTCCTATGTATCTCATGTAGACACGTTAATATGTGAGAGGATTGAGGGGCATGGAATCGAAGGCATATTTCACTCGTGAATCTGCTGCTCTCAACTTAAGTACTTTTTATCTTCTGAATGTTTTTGTTAGGCTATTTTAACTATATTTACAACAGAACTAGAATGTATAAACAAATTAGATAGCTTTTATATATTCTTTTGGCATGAGAGAATTCAACAACCACTACGAATGAAATATTGCATCGATTCCATGCGCTTTAACAGTCGCTTGAGGCTCTCACATATTAACGTCTCTACATGAGATATATAGGAAATTTAATGTTCTTTCAAATTGATTATAAGAAATTTCTTCGAGAGATGAGTAGATCATGAGTTTTAAGGGAAAACGCGATGAGAACATTTTTTTTTTTTTTACAGATAAGAAAACCGTTAATATTCTCTAACTTCTCAGCCGTTGGACCTATATCAAAAAGCTATGTATAAAATTGATAGTAAATTTTATCTTCTTTAACTTTGTATATAATAATAATGTTGATAAAATGCATCGTTTCGGAGTCATGTCCAAAAAACTAAAGAAAAACCGACAATTTGAATTTTTCCTCATCCAACTCGCCTAATTTGATGACTTTAACGCGTCAGTTTTCAAAACGTAACAGGGTACTAGGTCAGTTAAGGTGAATTATCTTTTGGAAAGATATTCTTAACATCATATCACTATTTTAGCCATACGTTCCTCATTTAATGAACTGTCAAATTTTGCCTCTTTAATTTAAATTATCGCATTGAAAGCAATGGCTTTCAACCGACTGACCGAAATTGTGTTCAGATGAGGTTTATCTATAATTTAAAATGGTTACTAGCTTTAAGTCCTTTCGTTAAATGAAATGGTCGGTATCTCCTAGTCTAATATAGCAGGTCTAATTCTATTCCACTATTAGCTATTGATATTAACTACTGCTGGAAGGACATTGGTTCTTTCAACAATAAATGTAGACCCAACCTTTTTTGTTTCATGGAGTACAGTTTACTAAAATTTATTTAGTGAATTGTTGTGCTGTTAATGTTAAGCAAAAGTTTTGGACATGGGCCTTTTTTGTTACAAGTACCGAATCGTTGTTACAGGATTCTACCATTAATATTAAAAAATACCATGGAGATAGGAATATAATGGTTATCGATATATTACCAAGTTTTAGCGGCAAAACTATAAACAAATCAAACCCTAGATCAAGTTTTGTCAAACTTAGTTATAAGTGAGATTTTAAATTGTGGTGATAGTCGCTTAAGAAATAATAATTAAAATGGAAAATTGGTTAATGGAAATGGAATATTTTCCATTGAAAGCAGAGCTAGAAGATGTACTTGCTCAGATTCGTAGGTTGTTATAATTTTTAATTTGTCTTTATTGAGATTTAACACCCAACATTCTTTCTTTGTACTGGAAGTAGTTCAGAGTAAAATATATTTATAAATTTGAATAAAAATATGTGATTATTTCAACGTTTAGTGTACATAACTTTATTATATTTGCCTATCCATTCTTATCCTCTTCATAAGAAATCAATCTAATACATATACATTTCTTTTTTATTTTAGTATTTCTACTCCAAGAACCAAAAAAGTTTGGAAACATATTGTAACTCATGTTCGACCTATAAAAGAAGTCGAAATAATAAAAAAACAGTGCTTATTGCATAGGCTTGATAACTCATCTCCACGCTGTTTTAATATTGAGGTCACTATTATTAGCCTATGTTTCTGTTTAATCTTTCATGTAAAGATATTAACAAGTTATTCTTGCAGGACCGGCTGAACTGTATGAAAGATTTTAATTTATATTTAGAAAATAAAAGAGATCAATCACGATTGAATGATTTAAAACAACAAGTGGAAATGAAAAAAACATCTATAAGGGAACAGCTAAAAAAATTGGAACATTTAAGTAGGTATTTTAAAAGTTATTGGTTTCTGTTGTTTTTTTTTTTTTAATTATTTCACATATTTTTTCAGAACTTGTCCATGATAAATCCTGTATTTAATATTGGGTTTGAAAATTGATTCTATTATTAGAAAAGACTGTTAGTCTTTAGTTTCTATGACAGCTGTCAAATTTCTATCAATTATCTTTTAAATATTTTTCTATTTAAAGGCTTGTTATGAATCTGTTTTTCTCATTGGTAAGTTGATAATTGTAATGTTTTTCATTCGATAGGTTCTGAAACGTAGCCTTGACCAGTGAATATTTCCTAAACTCAGTCATGATTAAGTCTGCTAAAACATATTAATGCCAGCAATAGACAATATGTCTTTTTAATTTTTTAATATCTGACTATCCGTTATTGTCGCATGACTCAAGCAAACAAGATTGAATCTTTTGCAATGCAGCATAACAACTCTTGTAACTCTTTGCAGCCAAATGTCACTTATACTAGAACAGGCTGTAGTTGAGTATTAATAGACACAGCTTTTTGGATTAGACATGCATTGTTGCTTGTATTAGTTGATGAGAGGATTAATACTGATCTTGTAGATTTGGGTTTTGACACGGTTCAGTAAAAGGATGTACATAAATATGGTGTTATTGACATGGAATTTTCCGAATTTCTTAGCTTTTTTTTATTGTTATTCTTTAAACTTAGGAGACCAGCGCTCTCTCCACTAGACTGTGATAATAGGTTTTGTAATCTTGATGATTAAGTTTCAAAAGTTGTAAATATTTATCCAAGAAAATACTTATTAAATATTTCCTTGATAATAAGCATACTAAAGTATTATAAATTTAGTTACATACTTAATTAATTAACCAATAACTTGGCGTGAGTCAAGGTCTCTGTTAGCTTAAACTGCCAATTGTCTCTTTTCCTTGTGACTGCTTTTCACTTACAGAAGCCAAGGATGTTTTTTGGCATCTTCGTTCACACAATCTAGCCATCTTAACCTCGGTCTTCCAGTTGTAGTTATGTTGAGCTTTTTATCTTGCAATTTGTGGAATCTCTTTTGGGTTCATTAATAATAAGTTATTGAAAACAAGAAAAATAAATTTTATTATGGACTACATGTCATAAGAATAATGGAAATACACTAATTGTCCAGCATAAAATTATGAAATAATTAAATAAACATAATAGGTAAACATGAGTAAATAAAAAGAAAATATAGAAATTGAAAATATTATTTGATTGTAGTCCTGTCAACATTAGTTAAATTATTTTTTTATACACAAAATGTCATATTGTATAATTTTTTTTAGATTATGATATTGTGATAAATAATGTCTGGACTAATATGGTAAATTTTTATTAATCATTTTTGAAAGTTTTTTTTTTTATTTGTTTATTAATTTAACCTACTTATAAATCTAAAAATTTTCTCACATTCCAGGAAAAAACTCATTAATGGAAGAAGAATCTTTAAAGGAATCTGTTTATAAACTCAATCAGTTGAAAAAGAAGAAGAAAACAGTTGGAAGGCTCATACAAAAGTTTGATAATGATACTAAAATTCTTAAAATACTGAAGACTTCCCCAAATAATTTTGTTAATTATGGTTCCAAGGTAATTATTAACCAAATTCAATGTAATAATTCTGCGACTGTATTATGTTTCATTACATCTTATTATTTACTTATTTTAGCCTTCGGATTGGGAAAGGAAAATTTTGATTTATCTTTCAGAACTTCCTCCAGAATTAGAGTTTGAAACAATATTTTCGAGAATGGAAGAGCTTGTTAAATCTTCACAATTTCCTGCATTGCCTTCTTGGTATTAAATTTGATATAAATTATTTTAATTGTTATTAGTAGTATCTGATAGTCATATTTTAAAATGACAGTCTTGTTTACTAACTTTAAAAAGATCATTGGCTGAATCAGGTTTTAGTGTTCCACTAGATCAAAATAGTTGACATTTTTTATCAGAATGTTGTGTGTTGCTCTATGTTTTCAAGCAATTTTTTAATAGTTGAATATTGTGTATTTCTTACTGTAACTGAAGAAGCAAATTTATTGTAATAAATTGATTAATTTATCATAAAAACATTTACAAAAACTTTCTTAAAGTATTTCTAATAATGACAGAATCCAAATAGCTTAAATATATATAAATGGAAATACGTCTTACTCAACTCAAAAATCTTTTGATTCTTAGTTCAATTTCAATTTCTGTTGTATTGCCTATACTTTGTATTGCTTTATAGAGCTCAGTTCTTTTTCCTTAAGGTGCCATGCACATCAAACTATTTATGGCCGCCAGTAATGAGAGCCAGTAGCGGCAACCACTAAATATATGTCTTGTGTCTCTCTGTGCTGGTTTTTTTTTTTTATAATTCAACGGCTAAATATTGAAAAAAGAAAAGGTAATAGTTACTATGGATTAGGCACTGTTATGGTTCGATTTATAGTAAATATGTAAACTGAGTCTTCCTAAATTATTCATTGTTTTATCATAAATTTTTTTACAAAGTTTCAAGGACTTTTGTTCTCATCTTCAGGATTTTATTACTATTTTATTATTTAAAAATTAACTATTGATTCATTATCCTCAAAGACATCTGTAATTTAATATATATTATTCATAATTATACGAGTCAAACAATATATCTCCGTCATTTGGATGTTCATTTAAGTTTCATATAACTTTCATGTAAATTCTAACATTTGGCTGGTTTGATTGACAATATAATATATAAAATATTAAAGAAGAATTTGGGGGTCAAGAATAATTAATTTATTTTTAGTAAAAGAATGTGTAATTTAATCATAGCCTGATTGAGAACTGCTTTAAAAGTTTCATCATACTTTTACCCTCTTCCACATCCTCAGGCAATATATTTCTCACAAGATTTTCCAAAACACACTATTGGTGGCCATTGCACTGGCTACCTTGGTGGTTATTTAGGTTTTCACTTAAAGTTAAAAATAAAATATACTTTTTCTTGTGTAGGTATTATTTTTTTAAATTTCACTTATCTGTATATGAAATATATAATAAGAGAAAGTATTGTGGCCGTGAATATTTTCGAATCTGAGTTTTCAACAGAAAAACATTTTTTTATGTCCCCTGAGTCGAAATAACCAAGTCCTGCAAAATGGTTTGTGTGTGTGTGTGTTAACAGTCTAGAGCTCAAAAACGAAAAGTTGTATGAAAGTGAAATTGCATATTTAAGGTTTTTATATGCTTGAGATGTTACAGGTTTGTGTGTGTGTGTGTGTGTGTGTGTGTGTGTGTTAACAGTCTAGAGCTCAAAAACGAAAAGTTGTATGAAAGTGAAATTGCATGTTTAAGGTTTTTATATGCTTGAGATGTTACAGCAACTTTTTCGTCAAAATCGGCTAACAGGAAGTCGCACTTTATATCATGAACTAAACAAATTTTTATGATTTTTTTCGAAAACGGCTCTAATGATTTAGATTAAATTCATTGTAAAATTAAGCAGTTTTTAATAAAATATAGGTTTTATTCTGATTGATGTTCTTTAATTGGGCTTAAATAGCTAATTTTCAATATTAGCTTCTCCTAAAGTACCTTTAATTTTTTTTATTTGAAACAATTGACCATTTCACATTCATCTTTAATATAAAAGATAGCTAAATATAAAATACGAAAGAATTTGATAATTAACTAAAGGAGAAATAAGAGATTGTAACAGAGAATAGTAATTAAAGTACCAAAGGAAACCGAGCTCGCCCGAAAGATTAGAACACACCTAATATAACATGAACTTAATATGATAAGGACTCTGACAATATTATATAAATATACATAGGCGGTTTTCATAAATGCTATTATTGGTATTATTTAATATTTAATTGTGTAGATTAAAGTGATATAAATATTAAAATTTGTATATATAAGGATACTTATACTAATAAAAATACCCACAATGGAATATAAATCAATAGCGTTTATAATTTTTACTTTCACTTCCCCTTTCTCTGAAAAGACTTATTTCTGCTAAGAAGAGGGTTGTAAGTGAATGTTGTGTGATGCGTGCACTGCACCAGATTTTTTAAATTTTGTTTTGAGAATAGTATTTCGTAATTAGATATTACCATAACGAAGAAATAGTTGACATCAAGGAGGTTGATTTAAAATAAAACACACAGTAATGAAATATAATGTTTAGTGTGTACCAATGTTTCAGCCTGAATTGTATGGCTTTAGTATGCCAATGAAAAAGTATATAAGAAAAATTAGACGACTGAATAAAATTTGTCATTCTGTAGCAAATGTTTGAAGAAACTAAACCAAGCTTTTATTTCTCTCTTTCTTTATTTTATTTTTTATCTCTCAACTGTTATAGCTCTCTTCTTTTTTTATTATAATGTTAATTAATGTTATTTTGTTTCCAATTAAGATACATCATTATTTTATGTGTTTTACATCTTTCTATGTCAATTTTAGGGATCGTACTGAAACTCTAACTGAAATGGAAAATGTACTAATGTCTAAGTTAAATTTACTGAATAACAAAAATTTGATGTCTAATGAAATCAATAAAGAATTAAAGAGTTTGGTTGACAGTTTAGTTGAAATCATAGAGCAGGTATATTATTTATTTATTATAGTAATGGGAAATTTTCTGTTTATATCTTAAATTTTGATCTGAAATTGATATGTTGCATATTTTATTATTAATAGGAGAATAATTTGAATGTCAATGAATTTAAATTAATTTTGGATGAGTTTCAAGAGCAGATATTGAAAGATGTCTTAGAAGTTGGAAGAGGATTATCTGAAAGTAAGACACCCTATGTCTTGGAGAGTGAGCGACATACCATTCGCAGATTTATGAATTTAATTGTGAGAATTGGGTTTAAGAAATATTTGATGAAATACTTAATATTCTTCAAGCTTATCTTATTTTTTTTTTATTATTATAAAATCTTTCATTTATGACATTGTTCATAATTTTACTTTGCTAAATAATTATTTTAGGAAGGAAAAGTTAGAGATTTAAATAAACTGCTCCCTTCAGATATTGGAGATTGTTGTTCCTCCGATTTGTCTGATTCTTCTTCGTCCGATCTACCTCTGCCTGGAAGACCACCCACTAAAAAGTTGGTTGATTCTGTTTTAAGAGAAATACAATGCTTTTTGGAGTTAAATTTAAGGTAAATTATATCTATATTATTTTAGTCCATATACAAGAAACAGATCTCAGACTTGACCCTTCATTCAGCCTTTCTGCTTCTTGATAAATTTTTTAATATCTTCATTAAAATTTAGCTATACAAGTGCTTTGTCATGAACAACTATGTTCATGTGTAGATAAACTCAAGTTTATTGTAGAATGATTGTAAGCTCTATTTTATTAATGCAGGACAGTCCTGATAATCAGAACCCATAGTAATCTAAAACCTCTGATAATCCAAACAAGAAAGAATTAAAAGTTAAAGTTGACTGATGAGAGATGGGAAAGTCGGCAGGAAATGGCTAAAGTGAACAAGGCAGGCACTGTTATCTCTCTCTCTCTGTTTTTCAATAAATATAACTGGAAGAGCAGTATAGGACTTCAATGGAAGTCTTGGGCCGACAAGAAAAAAAAATAATATAACTGGAATTGCTTCCTAAAGTAGAGTTGATGTTGTATTGTGGTATCGCTAACTGGAAAACATTAAAAGTAGGCCGTCACCCAACAGTTGAAGGACCTCTTTATATATGGTTTTTGCAGTAGAGTTCACAAGAGAGGCCAATTCCTTGGGATGAATTAGCTGAAAAGTCAAAGTTTGTCTTTAATACATTTTTTAAGAAGGATGCCATCAGATTTGTAGATTTTAATGCTAGTAAAGGTTGAATTCGTAATTTCTAAAGCAAATATGGAATACATTTTTTGTATTAATTTTTATTTGACTGGAAAATTACTTTATACCCATTTTATTTTTATTATAATGTTGTACTGAAAGTAAGAATTGCACAGTCTATCTATATAAACGTAAATGGCATTTAATACTTGCTTGGATTCGGCCAGTGGACACAACGTCAATTACCAAAGCCTGGTACTTTTATGGAATGGCGAGATCGGACTTTTTTTAACAACAAAATCTGAGACTCACCGATTTTCAGACCTTTTTTGTACGCAATGTGTTCGTATCTAACTTATAATACATATATTTTCTTTACCTTGTGTGATTTTAAGTTTAAAATATTTTAAATTTAACCTTTGATAATCAGAACATTTTGATGATCCGAATAGGCCATACAATCTACATGTTCGGATTATCAAGACTATCCTGCATATATAAAATTAAGTATTTATATATAATATTTATAAGTCATTAAGTTACATTTTAAAAAGAAAATGTTTAATATCTAATTATTTTAATATTTTAAATGATTATATAAACTTTAAGCTTTTCTCATAATTAAAAACTAAGCTTTCATTTCCATTTTTTTATTTTAAACAATTTGCAATTATTTACTTTTTTTTAAGTGTATTTTTAATTCATTGATATGTTTTATAGACAGAACCTACCTGATCACATTATTGACTATGTCAAACCTTGTATCTCTGGGTACTACCAACTTCTTCAGCTTAATAATGAGATGAAGATGCATTCTAAGCTTATGAATTTAGATGAAAAGATACGCGGCCTCAACTTAACAGTTGGTGGTATGTGTTAGTTAAAATTTGTGTGTGTATTTATTTTATATCGCCATCTCAGCATAATAGAACAATGCAACTCCACACACATTACATACTGGAGTTCCTGGTCTTAGGACCCTTTCAAATACTAAGAATTCTACCGGGCTTTAAAAAATCTATATTTATATTCATAGGCGCCAACTACTAGGGGCTCATGGGGCTTGAGCATTCCAATGTTGCCATTAGAATGTTGCCTTCTCCCCAACAAATTGCTACAGTATGAACTGCTGCATGAACATATCACTCATGTGCATTACGATTCCATTGCAAAGGCAAAGGACTGTGTTTGATTGATTTGAATTTATATATATATATAATAGAAAAAAAAAATATTGTATGCAGTAGAGTCTTAGAATGATTTTACAATTTTTGGAATAGTCTTGGTATTTTTTGATGGAACTGAATTCAATATTTTTTGCACTGACTTCTGTGGTAAAATTTGTAGTCATCTTATTATTGTCATATCACCTAAGTTTTAGCCTACTAAAGTCAGGTTTTTAGAATATTATCTTATCATCTATGCAGTTATTAATTTTGTTACTTGGAATCTATTTAAAAGTCGGATTTAAAGCTTAATTTTTGAAAAAAATGTTTCTAATATTCATTATTCATTAAAATTCACTGGAATTGAAATTTGCTTTTAAGATTAAAGTTTAAAAGCAATTTTTCTAATCCTGGAAAAATCATAACTGAATTATGAAAATTGTTTATTTTTAAGAATTCTTTAAACAACTATATATTTCAACTTTTGTATTTTTTTACTAGATTCATTCCTAGGAATATATCAAAGAAACTGCAGACAGAAATATTTTACTTTATCTCTTTTAGAACTTATTTATAACATATACATTAAAAGAATAATAAATTACAAGATACATCATTTCATATATACATCATTGTAAAAAAAAAAAAAAAATTAATTGAACTTATTTAATAGAACAATATTATTTGTCAAACAAAATTACTTAAATAATCCCATGTATGATTCTACAAGAACCACCAGTCATTACAATAAGCCTTATATTCATTATGAAAAACTGACTGTAGAAGACACTAGAGCAAACCTCAATTGTTCTACATATTAGGTACTTTGCATTTATATACAACCTTAAATTTTATTATTTTCAATTAAAAATATTGAGAAAAACAGCAGACACACTATATGACCATTTGTGATAGATACTTTTCCAAACACGGATTTTGACATCCAAATGGTATCAGATACTGCAACACTATACTAAAACTTCCAGTAGAGCCTGACTTGCAACATGAATCCTTAAGCCTAAACACTTAGTTCCTCCATGGACCCTTACATCCCATCCCGCTGATTTTTAAGCTTGTGCCCAAGAGATTTTCTAACTTAACGCTTACCATATGTGCACATAATTGCTTCTTTCAAAAAGCTCTTAGCTGAAAACAAATTACAAATCTGCCAAATTTATATATTTGTTTAAATAAATAATTTTTTATTATTTATTTTGACCTTCTTCACTTATTAATATTACTTTTTTATTTATTTTTTATATAGATGTAGCATCAGATTATGTTGATTTGCCAGACAAAATCAATGAGCTGAATATCTCTTTATCCGAAAACATGATGCTAGTGAAAAATGAGACTGAATTGCTAGATGAAGTTTATAGAAGAGTGAAAGCAGGATTCAATTTCTTGTAAGCATTACATTATTAAAATTTCTTTATTTTGAGTTCCATTCTATATCTGATATGATTTCAAGATATATAGTACATTATGATTGATTTGAATCTTGGATAAGTTTTCTCCTATTATTTATTCTGATTAATGTGATTTAAAGGAGGCACTGATGAATCTATATATCTTATGCTGCTTAAGTCCATTTAAAGTTTCTATATTTACTATAAAGAGTATGAGTTATAGTTAATTATAATGGATGTGTTAAATTCTCTTAAGGCTGTTATTATATATACCTCGCTTGTCTCATAAATTAAAAATCTTTTGAAAAATTATGGCACTTTTTTTTTCAGGCGCAAAGAACCATTAAATGAAAGTCTTACTGGGTTGCTGATTAGTGATAAAGATGTGAGCTATTGGTTAAAAAGGTACATATTTTCTAAAAAGGAACATGATCATGAGCTATGGCTTCTAGATAACCAGTAGCAGCTCATGTTTCTATTACTATTTTTTTATTCTATGATAATGATTATAATTATACTAAAATATATTTATTGTTTTTTACATCATTATAGACCTTTGCAAATTATTTCTAATGCTTTCGAAATTATCTTTTTATATGATATTCTTAATGATTATATGTTTATTGTTATTGTTATTATAATTTCAAAAGAATTGTATTTAAAATAAAATATGTTAAATTGTTTATTAACCCTTTTTGATTTTATATATGCCTCATTTCTATTTATATATCTTATAGTGTGCCCACAGGAAGAACAAACTGTTAAAATTTTCAGAGATGGCAAAATAAAATTAAAAAATTTTAATTAAAAAAATAAAATAGTAACAACAGAAAGAATCCTCAACTTCCGTATTACGGACACCATGATGATAGCTAACGACATTTTCCCACACAAAGGTATGTACCATTATCTCAACATATGAAAAAAAAAATTAACATGAGGAGACCAGAAATTGAAAAGGAAATAGTCCTATGTAAGTAACCCACAAAAAGGAGGAAGAAGAATGACGCAGTGTGGTTCTAAAATAAACACTTATAAACTGAATGACCAAGCAACCATCCAAGGTTATCAAAAGGCTATAGAAGAAAAAGCTTCGGATTCTGGTAATATTGAAGTAAGCTGGAATGGTTTCAAGAAAACTATATTGGAGGCTGCTGAAACAGTGTGGGGGAAAAGTGTAGCAGACACCCTGGTGAAATGAGGAAGTGAAGCAAGAGGTAAAATTGAAGAAAATAAGATGGAGGGAATACCTCAGCTCGAATTTCGAAGCACTTTTCAAAAAGTACGAAGAACAGAGTAAGAAAGTAAAAAAGCCGATCCTATTATCTAAAAAGATATCAAGGGAAAACTTTGGAAGAGAACTTCAAGGATAACCAGGTTTTCTATATCAATCCAAGAAGAATAGGAAGAGAAAAGAAACATGCCCTGAAACACATTAAAGACTAAAGTGGGGACTGGCCATTAATTTTAGCCTTTAATTTCTTCCTATCATCCCTCTTTGTGACAATTTCTTTTGAAAAAACAATTTTAAAACCAAATTTCCAATCCTCTCCGGCTCCTGGGCAACATCTGAGGATGATAAAGCCAAGGAGATCGCCAGACACCTCTCCAATACTGTTATTCAGCATTCTGAATCCCATCCTACCTACACCGCCACAGTAGTGGAATTTCTTACATCACCTTTTCTACTCTCCTTGCACTCTAAAGCAGTTCATCCTTCCCACGTCAAATTGCATTTACAAAAACTAACCTCCTTGAATCTTCTGGATACGATCTTACCCCTCAGATTCTTCAACAACTTCCATCTAAAGGAGTCATATTTACAATTCCATCCTACTTTCTACCCACTTTCCACTATAATGAAAATATTACAGTTTTATCAGTTTCCTAAAACCTAGCAAATCTCCCAACAGCTTGACATCCTATAGACTAATTAGCTTCCTCCCAATTCTTTAAAAAAACCTTTTGAAACGAATCCTGCTCATTATAGAATCCCAAAATCTTTCTTCTGATCTGGTAGGTTTTCGCTTCCAACATTTTACTGTCCAATAAGGACTCCGAGTTGTTGATCATTTTTCATCAGTCCTTGAAAACAAGAAATACCGCTAATGCGCATTTCAGGACATAGTACAGGCTTTTGACTGGGTATGGCACACCCGATAGCTCTTTGAACTTAAAATCCATTCAATCTTAAAATACCCATTTCTTTGATCCTATCTATCGGACCGCTCCTTTTAGTTCTCTATGCAACAGAATTATCCAATATCTATTGAATTAATGCTGGTGTTCCCCAAGGCAGTGTCTTGGGTCCCATACTTAACAACCTCTTTATCACTGAAATCTCTGCTCATCTTGATACCTTCTTTGCAACATTTGCTGATGACATAGCAGTTCTATTATCCAACTATGATCCCGAAATAGCATCCTTAAATCTGCAAAGGAACCTCTCTCTGATTGAGCACTGGTGTAATAAATGGTGCATTAATGTATATAAATCCTATTGCAAACACATAATCTTTACACTCTGATCCTGTCCACCACTCCATTTTAATTCCACTCCCTTTCCATTTTCCAGCTTTTTTTTTATCAGACACAGTACGGTATCGGCTTTCACTTAGACCAAAGACTAACGTGATATTGATATACTAGATTTAAAAGACTAAAGCTCAAACGATGGTATGATCAGATGAGTAGAAATCTCAAGTTTCTATTGACAACAAATCACTGATCTACAAGACAATCCTGAAACCTATTTGTATCTATGGACTAGGACTGTGGGGTACTGCAATATTTTCCAACACCAAACGCATCCAATCCTTTTAGTCCAAAGTCCTTCGAACAAATGTCGATGCTCTGCTAACTATAATCGAATAATGTTCTAATTCAATGGCGTATCCCAGATTTACGTTTGGGCTTGACAGCTCAGTCTAAGGATAGAGATATCTATCTGAAGCTTTTTTTTCTCTCACCCGCCTATTCTGCAATATGTTTTTTTTTTTGGGGCCCAAGGAGAGGGCAGGGGATTGATTAATGCTAGAAGTAACAGTCCCGGGCACCGAGATTCGAATTTACTATTCTAGATTTATCAGTTTGTCTGACAATGCATATTTTGCACATGCATTAACAGGTTCCTTCACTATTTAAAGGAATGACATGGCATTCTCTATGGTGATTTAAAATCTGTGGAGTTGAAGAAAAAGGCTTGCGTATTGCATTTTTGCCGTATCTAGATCTATTGCAAAACATTTTTACAATTATTCATTAAATCCTTGATATTCTTTATTCTTACCACTTAAAAAATAGAGCAGTTTATATCGATATTATCAACGAAGAGAAAAACAACTTGAGATCATATTGATAAGTGGATTTCATCTATGGTTTTAACAAAAATCCAACCTCTTGTCAATTTAATGTTTCTCCATCGATCGCTTCTGTTAATGCTTTCCACAAAGTTAATTTGTCTAGTCGAGTGTTTGTGGTGTATAGACGATTTCATATTGTATTGCAATTATTCACTTCAAAAACTCTAAATTTAATACTGCTATGAGAAATGGTAGTTAAAGTACATAATTAAATATATTGTATGTAATGAAGTGGCAATTGAAAAATACTGCTGATTAAATTCTGCCTTCATCCAGTTTTATAGAAAATTTGTATTGAAATATAAAAAAAGTAAAACAAGCTCTTAAACGATAAGAACACTCATAAAGAAAATAATAAGAGGACAGTTTTTCATGGAGTATTCTTCTCATTACTAATTCATGGAGTGAGGTCGAACAATGTTCTTCTCAGAAATATTTACATGCTCAGGCATAACAAGAAGGGTTTAAGTTTAACCAAAATTCTTTGGTGATTGAAATTTAAAAAGACTTCTTGTAACTGCTGGTCAGACCTGTGGCGAAAAGTATTTTATTTTTATAATTTTTGTTTCGAGAACAAGATGAAAATTTGTTTCAATAGTGCTTACTGGAGGAAAATAAATTTTGAAATTATTTAAATTTTTTTTCTATTTGTGCCAGAAAAAGCAAAATTCTGCCGAGAGCCCGATCAAATACATAAAACATGCAATAATGAAGAGCTTGAAGTCGTAAATGAGTTATCCATTAGCAACACGGTCGCAGGAAAGAGAGAGGTAAATAAAGATATGAAGCTCCACATTTTCAAGGTCGTATATATATGCATATTCTGCTGTATGGAGCAGAGAGCTGGATCCTCCCGTACAACAAATGGAGCCGAATCACTGCAGCCCAGATGAAATACTTGCTCAGAGAGGCCTAATCCCAAGGGGGGATATTCTCTGATTATTCTATGCTTGTTCGCTTCTCCGTTTACTTTCACTGACCTATATATGTAATATATAGTAAGGTAAAGTATTGCGGTCGTGGAAATTTTCGAAACTGAGTTTTCAACGAACGTTTCGAGGTTCAATGATCTGTGTGTGTGTGAATTCTAGCTCAAAAACCAAAAGTTGTATGAAAATGATATTACGTGTTTAAAAGATAGGAATAGGACTGAGATGTTACAGCAAGTTTTTCCTTAAAATCGGCTAACCGAAAGTGCCACTTTATATCAACGGTGAAACACGTTTTTACAATTTTCTCAAAAGCGGTTCCAGCGATTTGATTAAACTCGTTACGTCAGTGTATTATTAAGTGGTCTCTATTAATATCAGCTAGGTGCTATCCACATTTACGTCACCTTACTGGGCTTCAATTGTCAACATATCTTCCTGTAAAGAACCTTTAATTTGGTTTAATTAAATAATTAACTATCTTTCCATGTTAGGGGTTAGGGAAAAATACCAAATGTAACTTTTGAAAAAAAAATAATAATTGGAATATGAAGAAAAAAAGAAAAATGCTTATCGAAATCGAAAATGAATATCCGGCAATAATAGTCAGAAGTTATACATATAATATATTGTTGGAAAGCGGAGAATTTTAGAAAAAATAATATCAAATAAATAAAGCTGTAAAAGGTAACGGAGAATGACGAAAAATATATAAATAATAATTTCAGAAAACAAACACTATTTAGCTTAAATCACATGTTTCCAAGGAAATTAAATGAAAATTTCTTTTCTAAATGCCAACTTTAAATTTTTACTTATAGTAAGGGTAAGTATTGCGATCGTGAAAATTTTCGAATCCGGTTTCAAAAAGTTTTCAACGAAAATACCCCTTTTGAGGTTCCCTGAGTCCAAATAACCAAGCACCGCAAAATGGTCTGTGTGTATCTGAGCAGCCTAGGTCAAAAACGAAAAGTCGTAGGAAACTTAAATTGCGTATTTAAGGTTTTCATATAGTTCCGATATGACAGTAACCTTTTCATTAAAATTGACTTACCGAAAGTGCCACTTTATATCAACGGTGAAACACATTTTTACAATTTTCTCAAAAACGGCTCTAACTACTTTGATTGAACTCTGTGTATCATTGTATAATTAAGTGGTCTTTGATATCATTTAGGTCTTATCCCCATTTATGTCTCTTTACAGGGCTTGAATGCCCTGTGTTCATACGCATCTTCCTCTGAAGTACCTTTAATATGGTTTATTAAAAAAAAAATAGAAGAATAGAATTTTAGAAAAAATAATATCACATAAATAAAGTTGTAGAAAGTAACGGAGAGTGATGAAAAAATATAAATAATAATTTCAGAAAACTAACATTATTTAACGTAAATCACATGTTTTCAAGGAAATTAAATGAAATTTTCTTACTAAATGTAAACTTTAAAATTTGTTTTCTAAAATTTTCTTGGAAAGTTTGAAAAAAAAAGTATTTATAATCCACCAAATCAAGCCAATGCCATTGTTTCCAATACTATTTCATTATATTTGTATGAAAGAAGAAGTGAGATACAAAAATATTTCATGGATATGTTTTTAACCTTAAAAACATTTACTGTAATTTCATAGCTATACATATGACATTATATTTAAATAATTAGGTATCTATTGGCCGTTGATTACAAAAAAATATCTAGTAACCTTTTAGGAAATTAAATTAGTGCATAATTTGATGAATTTTCCCTTTGTGAAATCCCAGCATTATCCACTTACAATTAGTGTGAAAACTTTTGATCCATCCATGGCAGACAATTAAAATCTCGTAATTTCATTTTTGTAAACTTTACAATGGAAAATAACAGTTTAATAACTAATAGTCCTACAATCGATAATCATTTATAGCTTAAATATTCAGAAGTACTTTCAAATCTTTCTAGGCACATATGAGCCTTTCGGTTGACAGAATTTAACTAACTCCAATTTCAGCATTCTTTATTATAAATTTTAGTGATGTTCCTAGTGGCAAAATTTATACCTTTATTCACAGTTCTATATTTCAACCTTGGAATCAACTTACTCACTGTCTGTATAGACACAACTTTTCCTACTAGAAATAACACTAAAATGATATTACTAAAAAATGTTGTAATAAAGTTAAGTCATTTTGTCAACTGAATTGCTCATAGAGTGAAGTTGTGTGGTTTATAAAAGCAGATGGAGTAACTAGTTTTTATTGCCTACCGTCGATATAAAAAATAGATTTTTTGTATTTTTAATGGTCTTAATGATTTGTTATCTGTAAGCTTTAAGCTTTAGTTTAAAATGCACTTCAAGAATTTTATACTAGTCCAACATTGCCAGAAAATAATTTCTATTCAAAGTAGAGCGGTAAGTGAAAGTTGTGTGTTGCGCGCACCAGATTTTTTTTTTAATTTGAAAAAAAAATTAAAATCCACCGAATCAATGCAACGAATATTTCATTGTATTTATTTATTTGAAAGAAGAAGTTAAATATAAATTATTTCAGGGATATGTTTATAACGTTAATTACATTTTCTGTAGTTTAATAACCCTAGATATGATATTGTATTTAAACAATTAGGAATATATCGGCCGTTTATGCCAAAAAATCATCAAATAAACTTTTAGAAAATTATATCAGTGAATAATTTGATGAGTTCCCCTTGTGAAATTCCAACATTATCACACTTACAATTAGTGTGACAACTTTTGATCTATCCATGGCAGGCAATGAAAATCTCGTAATAGTCCAACATTGCCAGAAAATAATTTCTATTCAAAGAGCGGTAAGTGAAAGTTGTGTGTTGCGCGCACCAGACTTTTTTATTCAAAATAAATAATTATCTACTAAATCCGGACTATAACTCGTTTCCAGAACATAGAAACATAGTGTCTGAATTAAAAAATAAGTTTATTTGGTCTTTTCCGGTATTTAAAGAGAGTTCGTTCAATTGTTTCTGAAAACAAATATACTTCTATGCATATTTTATTTTGGTAAACTTGTTTATTAAAAAAAAAAACATTTTCCTTTTTAAAACATCAAAAAGAATATAATGGGGAAATACGTATGTGTATAAATATGACAAAGTTCCTAAACTCAGCGCTCAACTCATCGGTGTCATCTTTTCACCCAGTTTAGAACGATGAGTCCAGCGCTGAATTATAGAACTTGCCCCATGTATTGTTAAAATTATAAACCTTTTAAAATTATTATGCTTTTACTATCTTACAAGTATTAATATTCTTGTAGCATTTTATTCGTAGATATGGCATCGATGGTTGCACTAATTTGAGTTAATTTCATATTCTTGACTAATTTTATACAGTAATTCAGATATAGCTGATGTCTATTACTGCTAATAAGAACTTAAGAATTTACAAATCTTTGAGAAAATAACAAGAAAGCTTCTCAGTTATTACAAAATAAGGTAATGACGAATTTAATAAATGTTTATTTTTAAATTAACCATACCTCAGTGAATGAAATTATAAAACTATTAGAATGTAAATGAATAATTAACAATCCGTCTAAGATCTATTAGAAGGGAGAATAAATGCAAACTGAAATATTCTATAAGAAATCATTGTTTAAACTTTTGACCCTATGTGTCTGTGCAAGTTCGAAAATTGTACTTCGCCCTCACGCCATAGTCAGCTATGAACAAATGCATTTTGTTATATTGAAATTTATTTATTGAATTTTGTATTCGGTTCGAAAGATGTTAATTGCAACGCCTATAGCCTTTGTACTATCTGAGAAAGCACTATTATTCAAATTAAAAATAATTATTACTGCTTGCTAAATTAACCGATTCTTAATTTATATAGTATAAGCATGGACGTAAATATTCAATAATTGTACAATTATATTAAAAACTATTTAAATTTATTTATTTTCTAAACGCGCACTACTTTGATCAATGTACCCAACACTTGTACCTCTCCCTCAGCCTAGTCTCAGTTCTGTTATAATTGTTATAGCTCTTTATTAAATCAAAAGTTCAACTGCATCTACAGATGAATAATTACTTTTAAATTATTTAAGAAAGTAATGATAATTTGCGCTGCAATTTTGGGAGAAGGTACTACTCAAATTATAAAATACATACTACAGCTTGATAAATGTAGTTAAATTAACCAAATCTTCATATATTAGCTACAATCATGAACATATATATTTAATAATGGTCCAATTATGTTAGAAAATAAACAAATTTTTAATATAGCTCCACTACTTTGAACATTGTGTACCCTACACTTGTACTTCGCCCTCAGCCTAGTCTTTGTTCTGTACCGACGCACATCGTAATAATTGTTACAGCTTTTTGATAAACTAAATATATAACTGCATCTACGGAAGAATATTGATATTTAAACTTTTTAGAATATAATGGAAAGATTTCTCAACAATTTGAAAATCAGGTACAGTTCAAATTGTAACATAAATGTTATTGCTTGTTAAATTAACCAATTAATTTATGTGTGTACAAGCACGGAAATGCATATTTAGTAATTTTCCTTTTGCTCTAAAGAAATAAATATATTTTTTTAGTTTATTATCACCCAACTGCTTCGATACTACGAATTTACAATTAGTCTTGCCACATCTATGTACCAATGCAGATCGCAAACATTAATAATCTAATGACGGTTTGGTAACATTTAATTCGTTATTGTTCTTAAACTATCTCATTAATAACAAAACGTTTTCAATCAGTATAAAACGAGGTACTTAAATTTAAAAATTACTAATGCGGCTTAAATTGATATGTTTATACAATCGTGTATTACAAATATTTAACAATTTTAATCGATCTTTAAAAAATAAGTAAGTTAAGTTATGTTCTATATAAATTGTAAATTAAAATATTTGAATTCTGAGTTCCACGTGGCTAGTTAATTTGAAACATTGATTCCGTTTATTCTCAGCTGTTAACAGATACAGTTCGCAATAATTACAACTTTCATTGTGACAGTATTCTAATGTTTATACAAACGAAGAATTATTTTTGTTATTTATCTATGGGAGTGGTAACACAATAATCTTTTATGTAATTCGGAAATAAGATATTGATTTATTTTGTGCTGCTGTAGTTCCAAATCATCATAATTTACTGTTTATTCCATTTATATTTACAATACAATGGTTATCTTTGAATGTTTTTTTAAGTTTGAAATAAAGGATACTAACTAAATGCTTACAGTTTTGCATTCCAAAATATTACAAATTGAGATCAACAATATGCAATATACATACAAGACTTCCAATTATTAATAAACACTCACATATAAAGAGTCCTACATATATATAGTTTTAGAAAACCTTTATTAAAAATTAAATTTTCTTTAAATATATTTTTTTTATTATAACTTCATTATTCATCACAACTTTGATTATTGTTTCCTTTCTAATAGAAATACCTTATTCTATATTATTTATACGTTATTGTTTTCCACTCTGTTTCAACATTTTAATAATATTGCTTTTAATAGTATTGTAATGTCTTATTATTATTTAATTGTTTTAATTGCTATTCTTTATTTTGCAGGACCGAAAACTAAATCTACCACTGATGTACTTTATGCAGGCTCAACGCAATCAAACGAAAATTCTCTGAAGAAGACACGACAACTATGTACGATTTGTGTTGGTGTACAAAACAACTGAGCTACGTCATTTAAGTCAAGTAAGTGAATCTAAAAAAAATATATATATATATAATTATTTTAAAATTCATATATTAAGTATCCTACATTATTTAAGCTTGTTTTTTATTTATTTAATAATAATATTTTATTATAATTTAAAAATCGCCAATGATTTTTACTGGGATAAATATATTTTATTTAAATAGATAAATGTTGTTTAGATGTTGGTTTGATAATCCCATCTAAAACATATCGCGTATAATTATCTTTTTACTAAATGATGATTATTTCCTAATTTTTTTTTATTATTATTAAATTATTTCCTAATAAAAAATTATTGGAAGTTCATTGTCATCGACGTTCTTCAAGTCCTCAACTTCCTCCAGACCCTTCAGCATGTTTCTCCTTTTTCCCGATCTTTTTGTCTCTTTCCAGAGGCCATCTCTTGAGGTTATTTTTACTCGACCAGATGTCGTGCTGCAGTAGGAGAATCAAAGGAAGAAGAGATCGAAGTACTCCGCGATCCGTCGTGTTTGGGAATTCGAATCGCATCATCGAAGCGATGTCGCTACTAAGCAGTTCTCGTGTCACAGTTGTATACGAAAGAGAACATCGCTCAACTAGTGGGAGTTGAAACTAATAATTGTTCTGTGGTGGTTGGAATTGTTATTACCTTACTTTAAGGAGACATAATTTCCTTAGTCATTTGTCAGACATTTCCTTCTGGGTCTTTTGTGACCATACTACCAACCTAAGACTTTTATATTAGCCTCACTACAATCACTGCACTACTTAAATTTCACTGCAGTTATATCTGCATCTGCTTGAATTTCAGTGATATGATCTATTTCCGATTGCTGATGTATCTTTTAAAAAATGACTGTGGAAATATATATATATATATTTCCACAGTCATTTTATATATATATATATATATATATATATATATATATATATATATATATATATATATGTGTAGATTGTATATATGTAGACAGACAATTACCTAGAAATTATTCGATTAATCGTGTACAAACATATACCTCTTTGGATCTTAGTGAATATAATTAATTACAATGAATTTCTTTTTTTACAAATTTATTCAAAATATATTTGGAACGAATAGATCTCTGATAAATAAATATTCTCGCGTCACTAATACCCCCCAAAAAACTTTATTGGTATCAAATGTTTATCAAATTTACAAGATATTTGTTCTTAACTGCATTATGTTATTAACTAGAGGCACTAAAATTTAAAAACCATTTGTACTGACCGAAGGACGAAAGTAGTTACAAATATCTCAAATCATCGAAATCGGACAATTTTTAGTTGAGATACAGCTTATTGAAATTTGTAATTATGTTTTATATTATTAATTATGTTATTAATTTATATTATTTCATTTTATTAATTATATTGTAATTATGAAGTTTTAAATTAATTTTTATTGGCTTTTTTGATTATATTTATCGATAAAGTAACGATTGATTTCTTTATCTTATGATACCTTGCATTATTTTCTTTTCTTATTAAGTTGGTATTTGATCATTTAACAATATACTGGGCGAATTTATCGCACGGGTCTATTAGTTTTCAAATATTCCTTTAACATGAATTTATTTGACTGTATGATACTAACTAATGCAATGTTGACCAATAACCGATCACTGATTTCCTTTATGATTGACATTGTCGTCTTTAAGGGGCTAGGATGCAGCAGGAGGGGCTTTTGTGTATTGCGGGTCCTGCGCTTCGACCAGTGAAGGGGACTAGAGGCAATACCAGCATTAAACATTTTATTGCAACAAATAATGCTATAAATTAAGTTTTGTACACTTGTATTTTTAGTGTATCTCAATTTTTATGTCGTCTTACATGAAAGGGGAAGTAAGAATGAATGAAAAGTAAATTTCTGATATTCCAGGTTGATTTCTTAAAATAGTGAGATATCTCTATTATATCCTGGAAATCTCGGGACCAGCCCCAAAATTAAATCTTAGATCCACCATTGAATTGTTCCAATTGTTTATGGTATTCTATACTATGTATTCTATTATTGTATCTTCAATTGTTTAAATTGTCTTCAAATAATGCCATTTTTAATTAATTTCTATTTGGCAGCCCATTCAATGGGGACCGTTTTTAAATGCAAGAGGGTCACGAAATTTCATCAGAGCTCTTGGACTTTTATGTTTTTGGAGGTATCACTTTTCATTAACTCTTACAATACAAACGTATCTCTGATCAAAATTTTAATTTTGCAATAATGTAATTCATATAAATTTATTTATTTTAAATGTTTTCTAGTGCCAAAATACTACTTGTAATGGCCACTTGAATACCCCAAGAAGAGAATCCGCTCCTGGAAGGCCACTGGAACGAGGAGGAGGCGTTGAAGAAAACGTGAATATATGAATAATTATGCTGTGTACACAGTTTATTGCAGATTGTATTCTTGTAAGAGTGAGGTGTTATTCAGTTATGTTTAATATCGTTATGCTATAGCATTCGTTTGGCTCAAAGGTCAAGGGAGGAGGGAAGAGTTTTAATAAATAAATAATTGTTGATTGAAAAGTTAAACTTTGTGCTGAATTGATCCAGTTCTATTTACAAAACTTGCTTTACATTGAGTTGCCTAAGGCATCTCAATATGTAGCATAATGCAAGATCTCATCTTCACAATGCTTTTTGGACCTTCAAAAGGCTTTTGACAAAGTGAGAAAAGAAGACATAGAGCAGGCACTGTTAGATAGAGTCATCGATCGAGGCAGTGATGAGTCTTTATAATAAAACCAGGCATGTGGTGTTAGAACAAGGAACCACATATCACAGGAATTTGAGACAAAATCAGGTATTCGTCAAGGTTGTTCCTTTGGTCCGCTGCTATTCATAGCAGTCCTAGATAAAGCGATAAAGAAATCTAAACTGAGAATGAGACAGTTTCAGTTAGGACACAGGAACTTTCAACCCATAAAATTTTTTGTGTTAGCTTTCGCGGATGACCTTGTCTTGCTGGCTTCCAACGATCGAGACTTCCAATACAACATAAATGTTCCTTAAGAGGGAATGGCTTCGAGAAACATGAGAATTAACCCGGAAAAGACCAAATGTATGAGAATAAGGAAGAAACCCCGGAGAATAATGAGGGCGATTAGAGCGAACGGAAAGCTACTGGAGCAGGTCGATAATTTCAAAGATCTAGGTGCTCATCTCAACGAAAGCGGCTACATTGGTGAAGTTTCACAGAGAATCAGTGCAGCTGGGAGTGTATTTAGTTTGCTTCGAAGGGGTTTCCTTGGTAAGAGGGAAATGACGAGAAAAACTAATATGGTGGTTTTTTAATTGACGCTCCTCCCTATTCTTTCCTACTCTTCCGAATCATGAACCCTCAATTCGAAACACTAGAATCGGGTCCAATCCATGGAGATGCATTATTTTCGTAAGGTAGAAGGAAGGACACGACGAGACAGAATACGGAACAGCACCATATAGACTAACCTCGGAGTTCAACCGGCTGACAGCGTTCTGAAGAAGCACAAACTAACGTGGTTCGGCACCTCCTTAGGATGGACCAGGAAAGAACTGCCAGAAAGACGTATGAGACTCGCGTGGAGGGAGAAGGCCAAGAGGAAGATCACGCATTTCCTGAGAGGAGAATGTTGAGGAAGCGGGATGTGGACTGGAGTAGGAGAAAAGAGTTGTTCCAAGAACGAGACTGCTGGTCCAGACTATACAAATCGCAACCTTACACTGTGCAAGCCGCAAAGAGGATAAAATGATGATGATGATGATAATCACCTTCCAAAATCTTCTAGAAAATCTATAAGTTATAGATTGTATGTTTATAATTGCAATGCATACTTAGAGTGTGTTAGTTGTATGAAGGACAATCTTTGTCAACTGCAGAAATAACTTTGGAATTTGTTTTCTTAAAATTTTCTGTTACTTCATAAAATAAATAAAATATAAGCTGGAAGAAACTGGTTTGGAATGAAATATTGACAATCCGGGCATAATGCCTCATAGTAGAGATTAACTTCAAACTGAAATTTAAATAAAAAATTAGTTATAGTCTTATTTTTTTTGGTTTATTTAATGAAATTTATAACTGTATACAAATACAACTAGTAAATATGCCCAAATCACAAAGAATGACATGAACAGGCTTGAAGAGATACTACCCAGTGGTAGCACTCCCTAAATAATTGTAGGTAAGATGATCACGATGCCATCTCCTGTTCAGACGCGTAGGAGGATTATCGGGAATCGAGGAAGAAGCAAGGGTGGAAACAAAGGGATTTGGATTGGACTGGAGTTTATCATGAAAGGATAGATATCCGACTCGGGCTAAATCAGCGACATATGGTACATATGTTTTTATGTACTAATTAAACATAGGTTTTTATAAATGGTTTTATTTGTGACAAAGTATGTAGCATTAAGAATTTTACGGAGGATTTTGGATTGTAAAGATTGTAAAGATAAGTCCAAATAGATCTTATTATGGTCATGTCTATAAGTCTTTTGTAATTAATTGAAAGGTTAGAACGTTTGTCTAGTAAGTGCTGAAGTAGTCGGAAACGTCGAGCGGTTTCTTGTTGTTTCAGTCTGGTATTAGGATATATTATAATATAATTTAAATATTATGTAAAATAAAACAGCTTAAGAAACTAAAAAGGGGTCGCCGAATGTCTAACTATTTATTACTTAATCTTAAAATAATTGGACCATGCGAACCATTGATCGCAAAGGACATTGATCAGTGATTAAATGACAAAATAATAAGTGAATTAAATAATTCAATGTATAATGAGATGAAGGAATCATTTTCTATTTGTTCTTGTAATTTTAATCGACCAAGGAAAAGAGGATTATTATAAAAACTTCATTCATTTTTAATAATGTTAAGTTAATGTATTAAGTCTAAAATAATGTGGAAATCCAAAATGCTTACGCAGTACAATAATCTGTATCTCAGCTAATAATGGTCCGAATTTGATGATTTTTAATTTTGTATGGAATTCAGTTATCTTTCAAATAATCATGGTTACAATAAAACGAAAATAAATATATTTTGAGTTATTCGCAAATAAAGTTGATATTCCTTTCTAAATTTCGTAGATCACTGTTGAATAATCTATAAATTTTTATAGTTGCATTTTTAGACAAACAACTGTATTTTTCGGTAGCTATGAAAAATTCTATTTGAGCGTTTTTCGATGTAAAAAATAGAAATATCAACTCTCTTTCGGCTTACAAAAAATATTTGAACCCACTTAACTCCTTCAGTCAGTAAAATTGTTTCAAATTTACAAATCTATAAGCGACTTCAATGATTTTTCTTTTTTTTTCTTTGCATATTGTTTAGTAATATTTCAAATAATCATGGGTTATTAAAAGTGGATTTATTGGAATTTTAATGAATGTCTTTCTGAAATGGTGACAATAAGAGATAGGAGTCTGCGCTAGATAAGCTTTGAGTCATTGAAATTATCTGCTCTGTTGGACGTAAAACAATAAAGAACGTGATTTATTATTAAATTATCGTCATAATTTTAATGAATAGATATTGCGGAAATTATAATAATAGCATTTTATTTATCATATATATATATTAAAAACAAAATCACTACCTAGCCATATTTTTGACACATTCAATCAAATGAAGAATCACTGCTTAATATTTGCTGAGTTTGTAGAAGATGGTTACATCAAAATGTTTGAGGGAGCATATTTGTACAGAGTTATGAATTTCTGAGAGGATAAATTTTTACGGGGTTCACAAATAAGGAGAGAACCATATTTTTGTGAGATTTCAATTTTGAAGAATTTTAAAACCATGCAACAAGAGGAAAACAGGAATAGACGACAGCAAGACTAATTATAAATAAACTACGATTTTTATAATTCTTCTTTCATTTGTATCGTTTTTAAGAAGAAGAGAGCATGGAATCTTGAAAATCTTGTTTTCAAGCGAACTAGTTATTTACCTAAATCATTTTTAAGCCTCCGCTTATTGGCGGTAGTAAATATTCTACGGATAATTCTAAAAATAAACTCATTTGCAAATATGAGAAGGAGTTAGTCGGGAGTGCGGTCAAATAAATACTAAATTATAATATAGTAATTATTTTATTTTAAAATATAGTAATTATTTTATAATTATTAATATTTGATAATTATTAATAATTATTTATAGTAATTATTTATAATAAATTAAAGTAAAGTAATTATTTTATTCGGCAAAATTAAAATAAAATAATTACTATATTTTAATTTATTCTCATTTTACATCAACGGTCAACCATCTCTACATCATCATTTGCAAATAGGTGGATCACTGATTTAACTGTTTATAAAATTGCGAGGAATCAATATTTGGACTGATTCCTTTGAAATAAACTCTCTCCAACACAAGGAAAAGAGAGGATTATCCTCAGTTAAGTCCTATTAAAGCTTGTGTTCACTACACTTTATTTTTCGTAAATTAATTTTTTTCGTTTTAATTTTAATTTTTTTGTTAACTTTTTATTAAGTTTTTCTGTTCGATGAATTTTCTTGACTTATTAAAATATTATTTATGAAATTTACAACTGTACATTTACTATACATTCAGCAAATGTGATACAGATAAATACATGACAATGAGAGAATCTACCCATTGGTAGCACTCTAATATATTTTGTAAATTAGGAGATCACGAGGCTATCTTCTTTTCAGACGCGTAGGAGGGTTATCAGGGCACGAGGAGGAAGCAAGGTTAGGAACGAGAGGATTAGGATGGTTCTGAAGTTTATTATGGAAGGATAGGTATCTGGATCAGGTCATTGTGGATTATTTTATGCGCTGCGAAGTAAGGAGCATTAAGGATTTTACGAAGGATTTTGGATTGTAAAGATAAGTCCAAATAGGCCTTATTATGATCATGTATATGAGTCTTTTGTAATTAATTGAAAGGTTAGAACGTTTGTCTAGTAAGTACTGAAGTAGTCGGAAACTTTGAGCGGTTTCTTGTCGTTTCAGTCTGGTATGAGGATATATTATAATGTAATTTTAATATAATGTAATATAAAACAGATTAAGAAATTAAAAAGGGGGGGCCGAATGTCTAACTGTTTATTACTCCTAAACATGTAGAAGTAAATTACATTTTAAAAATTAAAATCATTAAATATGAAATCTATTTAACTTTTCATCTTATTTTGAATGATCCACTTCTTTTGCAAATGACTAGATATTGAAACCTTGAGTAATATATATATTTTTTTTTGTTTGAAACAATTAATTTTTATTAAATGTAAAGTTAAATTGTATTTTTAATCACTTCCGATAGATTGAATTTTTTATTTTTGATAGTTGATACTAGAAATTTTTCTTGATAGCATTTTAATAAAGGTCTCAAATTACTTTTACACTAAAGCTCTGTTAGTGAAATACTTTTCGCACAACAATAAATCTAAAAATTGATTGTTCAACTATACAATCAACTATACAATCTTACCTAATTAAAGAAAATAAATAATAGAATCAGATAATTACTTCAACATAAATTATAGATGTAATATGAGCCCACTTACTGATTGTTTCTCATCAATTTATTTTTTTTTTTTACATAAATATTTAAACTTTTGCAATATGCATAACATTTTATTACAAAAAAGTTTTTATCCCTGCTATTATTTTCTTTTTTAGTGTGAAATATTAAATTGAATGAGTGTATCAACCTCATTTTAAATTAATAATAGATAATTGAAATTTTACTTTGTTAAGGTATATTGTATTGTTTTCTAAACACACCTGAACGGCGGACGATAAACATTACAATGAAAAATATTCACAATTGAACAAGCTGTTGTATCATTGCAGTAAAGACCACTTATAGTGGTAGTTTTATGAAGAAAATAATGGATATATTTTCTTATATTTTATTTTATACTCGATAAAAATCGAAAATATGTTTTTTAAATGACGGTAACAATTTTGTTTTCTAGAAAATTAAAAAAACAATACATTACATATACTCTACTTAAAGAAGATATAACTGCAATTTATTTGTCTATAAAGCCACAGAAGGTAAGCATTATATATTAATTTGTTAAGTATTTCATATCATTTATATGAATAAATAATAATACAGTAAAAATAATTTTAAAACAAATCTAAACTTCATTAATAAAAATATAACTTTGCATTTTTTAGCAAAAATTATGTACGAGGCTGGCCGATACTGGTACCTCATACATGACGTCATAACCTCGTACAAATACGAGGATCCTCGTACGAACGGCAACACTGATTGAAACTAATATATATAACCTCTATGGAGAACTTCTTTGATATCGAGTACTCCACGGCGTCATTGCCCCCTCCACAATGAGAACAAGTATTTATACCAAGCGTTTAGAACAACAGATATTCAGTTACCATGGCTGTTCTCTTCTTCTTACTTGCCATCGTCGGCTGTGTTTTGTCCAGAACTTCCAGCGAAAATGTGAAGCCAGTGAGTAATAAATAATATTACAATATATTAATTTAATATTAGTTTACATCTGTGTTTTTAATATATGGATGATGATATTTGAGCCTCATGGAATATTAGCTATTTTCATTTAACTATTTTTTCGTAAATATCAATTACCTGTTGTTTTTTTTAAATAGATAATGTATAAACTCTCAAAATGAATTATCCTATTGTCAGTAGGAATAAATAATGAGTGATATTTGTTTTCACCTTCAATTTGTTTATTCAGACAATTTAAAACTTTTTATGAATCCTAAACGTTTTAATTGTTTTCTTTTTTTTAATTAAATAAACAATATAAATTGTGACAGGAAGAAATGAACAAAGAGGTTGTTGCTACTGCAATGATATAACAGATCGTTCAATTGCAAATCATTTGCATTGAAATGTTTATCGTCCGCCGTTCGGGTAAAGTTAGAAAACAACACAATATACCTTAACAAAGTAAAATTTCAATTATTTATTATTAATTTAAAATGAGGTTAATTAACTCATTCAATTTAATATTCTATACTAAAAAAAATAATAATTGTAGCGATTCAAACTTTTTTTGTAATAAAATTCTATGTATATTGTAAAAGTTTAAATATTTATGTTTAAAAAAAAAATAAGTCAAATGAGAAACAGACAGTAAGAGAGCTCATATTACATCTATAATTTATCTTGAAGGAATTATCTGATTCTATTGTTTATTTTCTTTAATTAGGTAAGATTGTATAGTACAACTATCAATTTTTAGATTTATTGTTGTGCGAAAAGAATTTCACTAACAGAGCTTTTAAGTAAAAGTAATTTGAGACTTTTATTGAAAAGTAATCAGGAAAAATTTCTAGTATCAACTATCAAAAATAAAAAATTCAATCTATCGGAACTCATTAAAAATACAATTTAACTTTACACTTCAAGCAATTTCCATTTAACCATTAATAGCACATCGCTAATCAGAAATGAAATCGTTAAATATTTAAAAAGCTTTCCACTTCTTTGATATCATCCGCTCAAAGAAGATGTCATCCCCCCTTCCACCGTTATATATAACGCGTTCTAACGCACATTGTTATTGGTTCCTCAACTATGGCCGTACTCTTCTTGTTGGCTGCCCTCGTGGGCTGTGTAGTGGCTAGGCCTTCCAGCGAAAATGTGACACCAGTAAGTTATCAAAATAATAAACTACTTAATATTGAACAAGGATGTTTTAAAATATTGTTTTTAATCTTCTTAGGCTTCATGATGTGGAGTTGATGTATGGATAAATCGATTGGACATAATCTCTCGTACTGCATGCCATGCATACATGAGAGTTATGAGGAGTTGCAATTGGTAAAAATTGGAATTGTTTTGACATGATTGTTGGTCAACTGATATAGCAAATTAGGTGTCTTGTTTCTGTCCAATTATTTGGTAGTCCTCAGTCTGGTCTTGTCTAAGGCTTTATGCACAGAGCTGCCACCTCTGTTGTCGTCTGCTAGAAGTGAATAAGTAGCGAATTCCAGACTGTCGAGAAAGTTAATATGCCTGCCTGTTGAAAAGTCTTTCGCAATAGGTTAATATAAGGTCTTGTGGAGTAAGTCTGTTTTAGTTTTAAATGTTTGTCTTAGAATATATTTCAGCAGGCTGTTATGAAACTGTTGGGGCCGTTAAGATCGATGTATTTGCTAGCATCGGCGCTTCATGAATATTTTTCATTCGCCTGTTTTAAGACGCTTTAATATCAATAAATTAATAATTTGTCACGGAATGATAGTTTTCGTAATGAAAATAGATGCTTTAGTCTGTAAGACTTGGTCTTCACCAATCTGACCTTTTTCTGGCAGTGGCGGAATAGAGTGAGGTGCCTTTTGATTGTAACCCAAGTTCACTAAGCTCTCTGCCGGCTTTAGTATACCTATTTGTTTTTCATCCTACTCTATAAGCCTTAGGAAGTGGGTTCCTAACATGATATAATTGTTCTTCTGGAAGTAGAAAATGATAAATTCTTCCGAGGATTAATGTAATATTTAGTCCTTCCAATTTCTTTTTGATTTCTTCACATGCCGCCTATATTTTTCGCAGAGGTCTCGTTTCGTTTAAGGAGCTATCATGCACTAATTTCTCTGCTCATTTAACTACTTTAATAGGAATTTCCTACCAAAGGGTTACGAATTTCGAGTAGATCAGCTTCTTTGAAGGGTATCCCACTTTCATTTTATTTATTATGTTTGGAGAACATGGAGACAGAGAAAATTCCTTAAATTGACTTGTCGAAAAACGTCAAAACTTTATGGTTAAACAATTCTATGATAATTGACATGTATTCAATGATAATTTTCTCACTGTATTGATGTAATTTCGCAATGACACATTTTTAATCTCTGAAACAACGGCCACATTAAAAATGTCGCCCCATAGCAGGTCGGCACCTCGGGACAATTGACCCGTTGCCCCATTTTAATGCCGGCCGTGATTGGTTGGTTAGAGCCTATGATTTGTAAGTGTTGTACGCTGTGGAAACATATTTTTTCGTCGTTGCAGCAAAACACCTAAAATTTGATTTCCATGAATTAAAATTTTAATATAATACTCCAATTTAATAAAACATTATTTTATTTTCAGGTTGAAGTTACTCTATACTACGAATCATTATGCTATGGCTGTCGAATGTTCGTTCCAAACCAATTGTTGCCAGCCTATACGGACTCGAAGTACCGCTCTTTAATATCTAAACTCACATTGGTGCCTTATGGTTGGGTTTGGGTTGTAAGTATTGTAAAGTTGTATTAATTATAATGAACGATGTTGAGCAAACACTGGATTTTCATGATATAAAAACATATCAACACGTTTAATACAGGGTGTATTAGTATCAGCAAATCATAGGCTACGAATTGATTCCAAAGAAAGTCACCCTTTTTCTTTTTAATAGGAAGCAATAACTCAAAACTATTTCACTTTTGTATTTATCCATTATAGAATCATAAATTAAGTCTTTTTTAAAAAATGAAAGTAGAATAATTTTGAAATATTTATTTATTGAAAAAAAAACAGCATATATATATATTGATACACACACACACACACACACACACATATATATATATATATATATATATATATATATATATATATATATATATATATATATGTATGTATATTACCCTCGCGCGGGCTCATTACCGCGTATGGGGAGCGTCCCACGGGTGGCGGATGTGGGGATGGTTGGTGGAAATTCCTTGGAAGTTCGTCCCGGCTAAGTCCGATGGACTCGCTGACCAACAATGAGAGGGGCCCTCCAGACTTGCTGGATGGAGGGGACCTCCAGACTTGCTGGAGGTAGGGGCTCACCAGACTTGCTGGAGGGTGTGACGTAGGATTGAACGCCCTACTCACATATCTTTAGTTCACCAAACACCACAAAAAGTCATGGATCTCCCTAAGGTAAAACGCTCATTATCCGGAGGTAAACTAGTCCCCCGTTCGGGTCTCCGGGTGGGGACTGCTTTAGGGGATTCATGGCGCAAGTTGAAATATAGGGATTTAAATATTGGTACGTGGAACGTAAGGAGTTTAAACACAGCAGGGGGGCTAAAATCGGTCGCGAATGAGGTAAATAGGTACAATTTGGATGTCGTGGCTCTGCAAGAGGTTCGCTGGCCAGGGGAGTGCTCGATGAGGGAAGGAAAGTACACTATTTGGTACGGAGAAAGCGGGAATCATTGTTTGGGTACCGGGTTTCTAATTAGGAGTAGATTACTATCCACTTTGAGGGACGTACAATTCTTTAGTGATAGAATTTCGGTAGCTACATTTCAGGGACGTTGGTTTAAAATCGCATTAATAAACATACATTGTCCGACCGAAGACAGTGACGATGAAGTCAAAAGTGAATTTTACGGTAAACTCGAATGGGTTTATGATAAACTACCGCAAAACTACATGAAAATAATTGTAGGTGACGCGAACGCAAAGGTAGGAAGGGAAGAAGTTTATATTCCGACGATTGGTTAAGAAAGTTTGCACGAATATAGTAATGATAATGGGATCCGTCTGATAAACTTTGCCATCTCGATAATTAAAAGTAATTAAAAATCCTGATAATTAAAAGTACGACGTTTAAACACAAGGATATTCATAAATATACTTGGACATCACCGGATTCGCAAACACGAAATCAAATCGATCATGTCTTGATACAACATAGCTGGCAAAGCCGTATAATTAATGTACGGTCTTATCGCGGAGCAGAATGTGGGACGGATCATGAATTAGTAATCGCGAAACTTCGACAAAAACTTAATATAAAAAAGAGAAAAGAAAACCGTTTCGATTTTGAGAATTTTAATTTGGAAAAATTAAAAAATCCATCAATTAGAAACCAATTCGAGCTAGATGTTAAGAATAGGTTTGAAGCTTTAGAGCTTCCTGACGAGGACCACGAGGATATTGACAAGTTATGGATAGAGATCAGGGATAATATTAAAGCGGTCGGTAACTCGTGTCTAGGAAAAAAGGAAAATAAGAATAACAAACCGTGGTTTGATGAAGATTGCTTAAACATGTGTGAAAAAAGAAAAGCCGCTAAATTAAAAGCTCTAAATAATCCTAGCGAAGACAATCTGGAATACTTCCGAATCTCAAAGAACGAAACGACAAAATTGCTCAAAAATAAAAAAAGGGAGTATCTTAAAAATAAAATAATTGAAATAGAAACTAATAGAATCGAAAATAACGTAAGAGACATGTACAAAGGTATAAACAGATCACGTAAATATGTAGGACCCGTCTGGAATTAGGGATGATAATAACAATATTCTGACCGATCCGGTTGACATATTGAATAAGTTTAAGGACCACTTTGACAATATTTTAAATACGGGAAATTATGATCTGTGTCCTACTTCTGAGTACCAGAGTGCTGAACCGTTAATAGAAGGACCAAGTAAAGAGGAAGTTGAAGTAGCTATCGGAAAATTAAAATCATATAAAGCAGCGGGAATCGATAATATTCCTACTGAACTAATTAAGGCATGCGGGGAAGCTGGAGTTTCTAAAATACATCGGTTACTTAAAAAGATCTGGGTGAACGAGAAATTACCTGAAGAATGGAAAGAATCTATTCTTATTCCGATTCACAAAAAGGGTCCGAGGACGGATTGTAATAACTATCGAGGAATTTCACTCCTTCCGGTATGTTATAAAATATTCACTTTAATCTTAACCAGTCGAATCACGGAATACGCCGAGGAAATTATCGGAGACTACCAATGCGGATTTAGACGGAATCGTTCGACAATTGATCAAATATTTTCTTTACGGCAAATATTAGAGAAAAAGTTTGAGTATAACGGTATTGTTCACCAACTGTATATAGATTTTAAAAAGGCTTACGATTCTATTGACCGCCAGAAACTGTATAATATTCTAATCGAGCAGGGGATTCCAAAAAAACTAGTAAATCTAGTCAGGATGTGCTTGACGGAGACACTCAATAAAGTTAGAATCGGTAATAATTTGTCCGAAAAATTTGAGGTTCGTTCGGGCTTAAAACAGGGGGATTCTCTTTCGCCTGTCCTGTTCAATTTGGCATTAGAACATGCCATTAGGGAGGTAATGCGAACCGAGAAAGGGTTGGATCTGGGCGGGACAACATCCGTGCTGGGCTATGCTGATGATCTGGTACTGTTAAGCGAAGACGTTGAAACTATAAAACTAAATACGGCAACGTTAATGAAAGCTGGTAATGAACTAGGACTCGAAATAAACGTGGATAAAACAAAATATATGGTTAGCTGCAAAAATGGCGATACTACTGGTGATATCGATATAGATGGTAATATGTTTGAACAGGTAGATAAATTTAGGTATCTAGGTTCTACGATAACTAGAAAAAACGAAATTGAAGAAGAGATTAAGGTTAGACTGAAGGTGGGGAATGCTTGTTATTTTTCTGTGACAAAACTACTTAGTTCGCGCCTCTTGTCTCGAAACTTAAAAATTAGAATCTATAAAACAATTATCTTGCCTACAGTTCTTTATGGATGCGAAACTTGGTTGCTTACATTAAGGGATGAGCAGCGTCTTAAGGTTTTTGAAAATAAAGTATTGCGTAGAATATTCGGACCGATGAAGGATGAGTTAACCGGAGAGTTCAGACGGTTACACAACGCCGAATTGCGTGAGCTGTATCCGGGTAATATAATTGAGGTAATTTCATCGCGGCGAATCAAATGGGCTTGTAAAGTTGTTGGGCTTAGTAACGAGAGATTTCCTAAAAGGTTAATATTTGCTGTGCCGAATGGTAAGCGTCCGAGGGGTAGACCGAAGCGAAGGTGGGAAGATTGCATTAAAGCCGATCTGAAGGGACTGGGTTTGGACGGCGAACGGTGGAGGGAGGTGTGTATCAAGCGATTGGTGGTGTCGGCATCGAACCTTCGGGTTCGCTAAGCATTATTATTATTATTATTTATATGTATATTACAGAAAAAATTCTTTAACGTTTACAGTAAACAAATAAAACCAGAAACTCTTCAACAGATTTACTTATAATCTTATTTTAAATATGTTGGAACTCAATAAAGTTAAAATATTCAACTGTGATTATTTAAAATAAAATAATAATCTTACTAGACACCTAAATAATATTACCTCACAGTCAAAATGATACACCACACTTCTTATTAACTTTTAAATACTAGTAATTTATTTCAATACATTGTAGGCAACCCATTGTTTTCTACCATTCGTTTCAGTCTGTTTGTAATGGAGTCGACCAATTGTCTTCTGATTCCGGGATTAGCCTGTTGCATTCTTTGAGAAAAAATTTTTAAAAAGAAATTACGTGTTTTCTAATTTCTCAGTTCAATTCCATTTCGATGTGATGACTATGGGGGAGTTTTTATAACTTTGGCGCAGTTATAAAACAAAATTTGTTTTTTTAGCTCAAATTTTCCACAATTTTATTCAAGTTTCTTCTCAAAATATCTATTGAACCCTGTTTATTCACTACACCATGTAAATATTTACACTATAAAGTGATGATTTCCAGCACCAGAAGCCGCCATACACCCCAACACCAAGAATCAAAACATAAGAAAAGAGCATAAAACATAATATAACACAAGAACAAGAAAATTAACATAAGAAACTTGGGAATCCTTTTATCATTACAGGCCGCGATAATTCTTTATATTTTACAATTGCTATTTTTATTTATCATTAATTACACACTTCCAAATACATACGTTTAACTTAACTCCATTAATTTTCGTTACTTAAATAATTAAACATTAACACACACATATATTGATACACACACACACACACACACACATACATATATGTTTATATGCATGCAAATAAGAAAAAAATACGCAGGAGTAATTTATGAATTATTATGAATGCAGAACTTCGTATCGTGTTTTAATATCTCTCTAAAAATGGCTCCAACAAAGAAAAAAATCTACTTGCGTTTAAAAGTCTATCCACACTTGGAGACGTTAGGGAACGAATGTCTTTGAGAATGGTCTAATATAACATTAAATCGTCGAGTGAAAACAGCGAATCCATTCGAGAATGGACTCTATCTAATTAAATTACGAATTCTTTAAATGAAACCTCTAATCTCGCTTGTGTGCATTAATTTGTGGTTTGTTACTGAATAGGCTGAGAGTTTCATCAATAAAAAAAATTAGATGATTATTATGATAAAATTCTGTTTCGTAAAATTATCAATATTTTCAGCAAAAATAAATCACAATAAATTATTACGGACCATTTATTTCTTCTTTTTTCCTTTCATCTGGGATGTTTTGCAATAGATTACTTAATAAAATACACATATTATTTATTTAAAAAGATTATAGAAAATTCAAAAAGTCAAATTCCACATGGTTTGTCAGTTTTTAAAAAAACTTTTTCTAATTCTTGATAATGTAACTGATAATTTACCTATAAAATAGTTTTATAGTTATCTATATTTATCCAGAAAAACATGTGACTCAAATAAAACCACACAAAACATGAATTTATTACTTCATTGCGTGGTAGCGCTTGGTGGTCTGTTAGAACGTTTTTGTTTTGAATGTGGTTTGTCTTGATAATACACCCTGTTCATTTAAAGAAATGATACAGCTGTTTCATGAGAATCTGGTCTTGAATAAGTGGTATTTTTCAGAATCGTGTAGTAAGAAAAATCTTTGATATTTCAGAAAAATGCAACAAGCCATGATTATAATTGTCAGCATGGCGAGTCTGAATGTGATGGCAACAGGTTACACGCCTGCGCCATCAAGTACATCCCAGATCAAGTAACAACATTGGAATATATCTCATGCTTGGACAAACAGGGACCGGATAATCTCACATTTGCGTCTTTGCAATACCCCATTGACGCGGTAAGTTGAAGAAAATAATGCGAGTTCAAGATAAATGTCAAACAAAAACAAATTATTTTTAAATTGTAATATAATATATCTTTTATAAAGGTGCGTTTAGACATTTCACACTATGGGAAACATAATTATCGAACTTTACCAATTAGTGCTAATCACTAACTTCAGTGACATTAGCGCAAGTCTAACTTTGTTTTTATTTCTCTTGTTACGGAAACCAGAAGGAAAACATCAAAAACAAGCAACAAAAACACTAGCATAGGGAAACAACCATTTAGACATTTGAATTTCTCATGGTTTATGAAATAAGTAAACTTTATTATTCTTTAAAAACTAGTAAATCCCAAAGATAATTCTGATATTAGAAAACTACGCTCCAATGTATTATGCGTATAAGCGACATCAGTGAAACATGTTTTCTCGTACATAAAATATATTAATAGGGTGTATAAAAAAAAAACGTTTTATCAAATTCAAGTTTCAAACGACTCTAAATGTTTTAATCTTGTTTAATAATTAACAATCCCTTTAGAGCATTATCTAAGCTTGTAGGTCTTGTTTAGATTAGAACCGCCAGTCATTTTATCTCGTAAAAGTTACTTATTGATAAATAAAAAAAATATGGGTTAAAGAAACATATGATTTATTTAATAGGAACTTTTTATACATAACCAAAAACATTTACATACTTTTAATGAGTTACTCCAGGTACCTCTGGAGGTCCAAATTCTATTGTGTCCTTAAGAATTTTATCAAAATTTCTTCATTTGAGTTTCTCTGCCTCCACATGAACTCACATAAATACGAGTCTAACATAGATCGATTAGTCTCACCAAAAACATTTTAATACTGAATTAAATAATATTTAAACATGTGATTTTATTTCTATACCAGTGGTATCAAATTTCATAACATCTTTTACTAAATATCGGTAACAAATCACTGACGGGCCTAATCTAAACAAGACCCAAACTTGTTTAATCCTATTCAACTTCTTCAAAAAGTCTCAGGTTAGTTATTTGCTTTAAAGAAGAAAAATCACAGCAGCTGAAGCAACTCGTGAAATTATTAAATATGAAGCAGCAGGTGTCCTTAACCATCGCACTGCGCGGCGTTAATTTGAAAAATTTAGCAGTGGAAAAATGACATTGGAAAGGAAGAACGGCTTCGGGAGACCATTATTGGATATTGATGAGGTTTTTCAGAAAGCTGTTGAGTCAAATCCGTCCAAAATTATTCGCGAACTTTCTCCATGGGGAGTGTGAAAAAGAGCAAAAAACTGGTCCCTCATGAACTTACTCCTCAGCAATCAACTAAGAGGTTATTCATTTTTGAAAAATCCTTCTGATATAAGATTTTACCAGAAGATTGTCACATGTGATGAAAAGTGGGTTTACTGGCGAAATCCGAATACCCGTGAACAGTGGTTAGATCGCGCTCAAATCACTTTTCCGATTGCTGCAAGGGAGCAATTTGAAAAAAAAAAAAACATGCTTTACGTTTTTTGGAATGTTGAAGATGTTATTCATCACGAATTTGTTCCTGATGGATGCTCAATGAATTCTGACCTGTACTGCGAACAACTAGAAAGATTGTTCGCGATGTTGCCAGAGCTTTACTCTGCTTTGATCAACCGAAAAGTAATTTTATACCAACAATGGTATCAGAGTGGGATCGAGCAATTGGCTAGCAGATGGCTAATGACGGTAGATGACAACGGACTATACTTTGAGTATTAATTGCATTTTATATTAAAGAAATAATGATAATAATATTTGTTCTTTTTTTTTTTTTTTTGTATACACCCTATTAATATTATTAAGATAGTCTATTCAACACACACAATTATTGAAGCTTCATATTTTACCAGGACTGTCAAGGTGACAATTTTCTTAATAAGTGATTAGCTTGTCCCACTGGAAAATATCCCTCCAGTTTATTAGTTTAGTGAGACACTGCTGTCCCTAAACCTGTACTAATTCATTTTACTCATACCCGCTCAAAACCTCTTTTTCTGGTGCAGAAGAGCCGTTGTCGCTCTCTTACTTACCAAGAGTACATAATTTATTAAGTTTTACTTTTATACTATTTGAGTTCTACCAATGGGTAGTTTCTCTTCATTTTGTACATGTCATGTTACCAATTTCACATTTACTTATTGTATTTTATATGTAATGCAGTTGTAAATTCCATTAAAATAATAATAATTAAAAAAAACTTTTATACTGAGACTATTGGAGTAATGATTGTACTGAAGCCATCCGTACTTAGATATTTATTTATTTATTTATTAAAAACTTATCATATAGCTATTCTCATCAATTTACCTTTACAACATATTTTTAGTTGGTCGAAGTCAATCAAAAACATCAATATTTTAATGACTGAAACCTTGAAATTTGATATGATTTGACGACGGCAAACACAACTGAGGGGTTTTATGCAATAACTACGGTTTATCACATTTTGAAGTTTAAAACGTAGAGCCTGGTTGTACCCTGGCTGCCGCCCAGAGCCATCTGTGTTTAGCCGCCTATTTTTTCCCATGATTTTTATTTTAGCTTTAGTAGCATTTTTTTCTGCTGCTATTTAATGTAGCTTCTACTGACATGCTCATTAGTGGAGATCGTTATTGTAAAATATCATTCATTATTTTGGTTTCTTTGATAAACTTCAGGATTTTTTCAATTCCCTTCTGTTCTTTGTACGGAATGATGTCTTGTTTTAGTAGTTGTTTACTGTATTTTCACATTGAAATATATGTTCTACAGTCAGGTTAGTATTGTCACATGTTGGTCGATGAAGGCCAAGAAGTAAATGGAGAAGTGTTAGCTTGGTGTGTCCAATTCTCAGACCGCTAATGAAGGAAGCGTTCTTTTGATGTGAGTTGTTTTTGAGGCAGCCAAGCTTGTTTATCTTCTTTATACAGACGGAGGTGTATTAGGTGGCAGGCGTGGCCATTGTTCATTCCAAGTTCAATTTTTTTTTTTTTAACTTATTTATTGGAAAATATTACAATCTGTCTCAAGGACATTTATAATAGTCTTCAGAGGTCACACACAAACTTGAGCAAGTGTGATTCGAGATTGAGCAAGAGTGCTTTATCCACCTACACTCATGTCGTGAGTGGGGAATCTGGCCATGACCAAAAAGGGCGCAGGGTCACTGCAGTTTTAACCTTCTTGGAGGATTATAGAGATGGGTGGTGCTAGATAGGGATTGTGCAAAGGGATTTGGATGATGGGCAAGGTTCTGATGATATTTGGAGAATTTTGCTAGGATAAGGTCTAGGACAAATGGGATAATAAGGTCGTGGTGGAACGATCTATTGTTAAAATGATCCACAAACCCAAAAAACCACCAGAATAATCAACCTCTTACCGTCCTATCTCTCTTTTACCCATCATGGGCAAAATCCTAGAAAAACTCATCTTAAAACGCCTGCACCCTATTCTAAATTCTAAACACATAATCCCAGTTCACCAATTTGGTTTCCAAACTTACCATTCCACTATACAGCAATGTCATCGTGTGGTAGACATAGTCTCCTCTGCATTGGAGCGCGGAATGTACTGTACGGGAGTCTTTCTCGATGTTGAACAGGCGTTTGATAGAGTTTGGCACCCGGGACTGCTGTACAAACTCCGAAAATTCCTACCACCTACATACATCCTCATTATCTGTTCCTACTTTACTGATAGATACTTTAAAGTAAATCACAATAACGCCTATTCATCCCTTTTTTCCCAGTCCGCTGGTGTTGCACAAGGTAGTATCCTAGGTCCTATCCTCTATACAGTTTATACAGCTGATATCCCTACCTATCCCAACACTATCATCACCACATATGCCGATGACACATGTATTCTATCAGTAAATAATGATCCATCAATTGCATCCCAAATGCTTCAATCACACATCATAAATCTTGAAGAATGGTTTCGAAACTGGAGAATTAAAATAAACTCCAATAAATCCCATCAAATTACCTTTACCCTTCGTCGTAAACCAACAACTGCCTGTCCTACAGTTTCCTTTAACAATACTCCACTTATCCCTGTTGAGCAAATTAGATACCTAGGACTCCACCTGGACAAGCGACTAACTTGGAATCCTCATACTAGACTGAAATGATAAGAAACCGCTCGACGTTTCCGATTACTTCAGCACTTACTAGACAAACGCTCTAAACTTCCCATTAATTACAAAAGACTCATATACTTGACTATAATAAGACCTATTTGGACTTACGGAGTTGAGCTATGGGGCTCCACTAAACCATCGAATTCCTGTCGCATCCAATCCTTACAATCCAAAATCCTTCGTAAAATCCTCAATGCTACTTTGTCACTAATAAAATTATCCATAAAGATCTTAATGTTCCTTATGTTTCAGATCTGGCTCAATCCAGATACCTATCCTTCCATAATAAACTTCAGAATCATCCCAACCCTCTCGTTTCTAACCTTGCTTCCTGTTCAATTCCTGATAACCCTCCGAGGCGTCTGAAAAGAAGATGGCCCTGTGATCTCCTAATGTAGTCATATCATTATAGTGCTACCATAGTTACTCAGTAAGTGTATTCATGTCATTATATCTATTATGTCCAAATTTACTAGATGTATTTATGTAATACAGTGGTAAATGTCATTAAGAAATAAAAAAAATAGAAAATAAAAAAAATTATAAAAAATTAAACTGGGGGAACATCCCTAACTGTAAGAAGCATGCAATAATTTTTATTTTTAATTTTCAGTGCCAAGATAAACTCCCAAATGGACTCTACTCAAAAATAATGAGCTGCTACAATTCAGATGAATCATGGGAATTATTCCAAAACAACGGAAAGAAAACCACCTCGTTCTTTACTACTAGTAGTTTCGTTCCATATGTTTCCTTCAACAATGTAAGTATAAATATTAATTTAGCGAATTGATCGCTTTGGGAATTCTATATTCCTAAACATTGGCCAAATCAAGGGTTTATTGTTATTTCAATTTTTGTTTAAAAGACAATTTAATCATGTTTCAAATAAGCATATGAAATGTTCATATACAATAGGTACTTGTAATACGAGATATTTTGGAAACTTAATCAAATTTACCATGTACTAGAAATTTTAAAATTAAAAAAAGACTTCAAGCCGAAGGCTTAACTTTAAATCAAGCTTGATCAAACTGGTTACAGCCACGTTGGTGCTGCATCAATAGAAAAACAAGTTTTTCTAATTGCGTAGCGCTCCGGTATTTAATGTGAGGTATTTAGTATCCAATATTTAGTTCAAAAGTGTGAGGGGCCCAAACTCTACAAAACAAAAATGAAAAAAACAAAATCGGTTCCCAAATACTTGGTATCCTTATATTTTAATAACACCGTCTATAATTACTACTTTCCCTTCCAAATCTATGAAAATGTTTCTTCTCTATGTAGGATAGTTGGTGAAAGTTATATGTTACGCGCACCGCACTAAATTTTATGTGTCGCAACTACGCTGCAAAATATCCTTAACTTTTTATTATGTAATTAATTTTATTAGATAGTGTGTTTTTCGCTTCTCTGGTCAATTTTTTACTCCAGATTTTATTATATAGATAGTTATATTTTTTGCATACAGAAAGTTTTGCAATGTGGGTGTCGTTATTGTAACATGTTATCAAGTGTGGGAATCTGCAAACCTTTTGGCCCGCTGGCCATAGCTCAAGAATAAAAAAAAAAAAAAAGCTTGTTCTAATGTTCAAATGTCACCTCACTTGTGAAATGAGCTTTCTAAGTGCATCGTCTCAAATAAAAGTGTTTGAGTGATTCACTGAAATTTTGCCTGAGCTTGAAACCCCTGTTGTAATAAATTAGAGTTATTTTCGACATAAATAAAAAAATATTACTTTTTATTTTAACTTTCTTCGAAGTTGAATTAAATTCTCGAATGAGCAATTTGTTCAAATCTTTTTGCCACAAAAATCCCATAGGCCGTTAATTTGTCCGAGCTTCAATTCATTATTCTTTTTAATAAGAAATAAGTAAACATTTCTAATTATTGTTTTCATTTACTTTAGAAACGAAATGATGACGTGGCCGAATCTGCAGTTCAGGACTTCAAAAAAGAACTCTGCAAAGCTGCCGGAGTCGTTGATCCAGATTGTTTCCACAAAACTAACTGATTCTAAATTTTTCTTCCTAATCCTACAGTCTAAAATATATTGATATTTTTTCTGACTTTATGTTAACATTTTGCACTTAATCAATAAACAGGAATTCTTCTAAATGAACTAAAATGTAGTAACCACGAATTCTGAATGGAAAATGAAATAAATGAAGACAATTGATAATATAAATGATGATATAATTTTATTTTCCTGTTACTGACTTTGCCCAGTTTCTTCTTCTTTAAGCTAGCATGATTAATTAGTTATATTGTGATATAAAATAAAATCAATAATTTTATTGCATAAAGTGAATTTAATTTTTATTTCTGGTCATGGCCGCTACTGCAGTTTAGTTTTCAGTTCGCTCTGTGATTATTACTTTGCTATGTGTTTATTAGTCAAAACTTTGTGTTAATAATTGATTAACAGTGACATTATAAACAGTTCAACTAGTTAAACATTTTTAAGTTCACGGATAAAGAGGAGAACCAGAGTAGTTTGAAGAGATAGAATCTTCACTGCTGTGTGAAGCGGTTCCGCCGCCAACAATGGCTACGCCGTCGTCCTCTGACAGCATAACAGTTATAATGGACACTTTAGGACCAAACGAGGTGAGAGAAAACGCATGGGAGTTGGTCACCGGAAGGAAAAGATCAGTCACAACTAATGAAAGGGACCCGAGAAAACAACTTAAAAAGGTTAGTGAGGTCACTATCACTCAAAACAGTTTCGAAGTTCTAAGCAACGTTGGACAAGAATCAGAGTCTAAAATAACACAACCTGCTCGTATAGTACCTCCTCCCATACACTTAAACGATGTTCAAAATTATTCAGAACTGGTTTCATACCTCCAAAATGTAGGCAGTGTCAATAGTTTTAAGCTAAAGACAACAACAAAAGGCGTCAGTTTATACCCCGAAAATGCAGACATATATCGTACACTAGTGGCTAGTTTAAGGCAGGGTGGTGCTGATTTTCATACATACCAACTACCTGAAGATCGAAGCCCCAGAGTAGTATTAAAAAATCTTCACCATGCAACACCAATAGAGACAATTAAATATGAGCTAAGATGTCTTGGTTATGAAGCCACTAACGTTGTGAACGTAATATCACGTTTTAAGAAGCCATTACCCATGTTCTTCAAAGATATATCAAAGGAAACCTTCAATGAAAAAATTTTCAATGTAGAAGTGGGTTAAATAATCTCATCCAGCCCCTTTTCAGTCTCCTCCAAGAACTTTCACATGTCATCCAGGCCTTATTCACTGACTATGGCAACTAATCAGCTGGCTGTGGGCTCCATGTCCGTTCTTCTTTGGAACGCAAACGGGGTTAATCAACATAAGACTGAATTTGACATGCACTTGCACGAAAAACGGACCGACATTGCCCTTATCACTGAAACACACTTAACTCCACGTACTAAATTTTACATTCCCGGTTACAAAATATACAGAACTGATCACCCAGACAATACAGCTCACGGCGGCACAGCGATACTAATTAAAACATCACTAAAGCACCACTCACTACATTTACCCATTACACCTGATATACAATCTACAGCCATTACACTATATACCCAAAACCAAACCATTACCTTTGCTGCAGTGTACTGTCCTTCGAGGTACGTGCTCACACCTGCGATGTTTTGCAATTTCTTCAGTCGTCTGGGGGGGTGTTTTATTGCTGGTGGCAATTACAATGCCAAACACCAGTCCTGGGGATCACGACTTTGTACTCCTAGAGGAAGTGTGCGAGCAGCTAAAGTCTGGCATCCATCAGCTTTCATTAGACACGATCTCACCTGATACACCTACTTACTGGCCAACTTCAAGACAGAAAACACCAGACCTACTTGATTTTTTCGTCACTAAAGGACTAAGGACTGTACCATACACTATAAATGCAAGCAGCGATCTTTGTTCTGATCATTCTCTTCTCAGCTTAGTACTGTATGATGAGCCATGTACTACAATGAAACGACCATCTCTCGTAGGAGAAATTATCGATTTGGATGGATATCAAGAAAAGCTAAACGAAATGCTCTCTATTCCAATGTCTCTAAGGAACGAATATGAAGTTGAAGAAGGTGTGGATAAATTCATAAACAGCATTCAACAAGCTATATTGTCTTCTTCTGTCCCAAGGTCCAACAGAAATGAGTGGCTTCCAACATATCCTCAGTACATAAGAGATTTGATCAGGGCAAAGAGCTCGCAAAGTATGGCAAACTGGTCGACTGCCATCTGACAAACGGACATTCAATAGACTTAACAATGAACTAAAACGACATATTCAAAGTTATAAAACTAAAATTTACGACAACTACATCAGAAATCTCTCTACTGACGATGAGAGCTTATGGAGGCATACAAAAAAACTTGTAAATCATCGTGAAGTGTCTGCACCTCTCCGAAACAAGGATGGTTCCTGGGCCATGTCAGATATAGAAAAATCGGAGCTATTCGCTATCCATCTTTCTTCTGTTTTTACTCCTCAACAACATTGAACACGAAGAAAAAGTACTAAACACTTTAGACATTCCACTACAATTGGAATTAGCTCCACCTTGTTTCACTCCGAAACTTGTTGCAGAACAAATTAGACAATTACCTAAAAAGAAAGACCCTGGTCATGACCTGATAACTGCTCAAGTGCTCCAGAAAATGCCTAGAAAAGCTCTAGTTTACTTAACATCTATTTACAATGCAATACTCAGAACGACCAAATTTCCTGTACAATGGAAATACTAATACATTACAATGATCCACAAACCAAACAAAGACAAATATACCCCTTCATCATACAGGCCAATTAGTCTACTCCCAATATGTTCCAAAATCTTTGAAAAACTACTATACAAAAGACTTATGAACATACTGACGGACGGAAAAATAATACTCGACCATCAATTTGGATTCCGACGACAGCATTCAACCATCCATCAATTACACAGGGTGACTGACTACATTGCAACTGCACTGGAGCAAAAATTGTATGCAACTGCAGTATTTCTGGATGTCACTCAAGCATTCGATAGAGTCTGGCATAAGGGTCTTCTCTTCAAAATTAAGACGATACTCCCTCCTACCTATTATCTTATACTTCAATCCTTTCTTTCTGACAGATTTTACTCTGTCTGCCAAGGCTCAGAACTTTCTTCAGTAAGACTAGCCTTAGCAGGAGTTCCTCAGGGGTCAGTACTCGCTCCGCTTTTATACATTATATACACACACGACATCCCTAATAGCGCCAGAACTATTATAGCGACCTACGCAGACGATACAGCTATTCTAACAAGACATAGAAACCCAACACACTCCACACAGACTTTACAACATCATCTAACAAAACTAAACGACTGGTGCAAACTCTGGAAAATTTGACACAAATCACAACACATCACTTTTACTCTTCGACATGGAACATGCCCTCCTATTTACCTTGACAATGCCGAAATTCCTCAAACAGATAAAATACAATATCTTGGACTGACATTCGACAGAAGAATGACATGGGGTCCATATATCAACAAAAAAAGAAAAACTTTAAACCTCAGACTACGACTGCTATACTCGCTTCTCTCAAGACGCTTAAAATTAAACCTAAAACAAAAACTGAACACTTACAATTATCTACTTAAGCCCATATGGACCTACGCTTCACAAATTTACGGAACAGCCAAAACGACACACATACGAAAACTACAAACTTTTCAGTCTAAAACTTTCAGAACCATAACCAAAGCTCCATGTTACGTCACAAACATTACACTACATAAAGACCTTCAAATGCCAACAGTTAACGATCACATACGGACACACCACAAGCGATTTCACAATAACTTACATGGACATACTAACACACTTATACGAAGTATGGCTACATTTAACATACCCGAAAACACACTTAGGAGGCTCAAAAGGAGCTGGATGAGGGATTTCCTCACTTAAAAATATGCTAAAATCAAGACAGGAAGGCATGCCGCTGGGTACTCCTCTCCATCACTCCGATCAAGCCACTACCTGTACACTTACCGACAGCAGACCCGCTAATTGTCATTGCTTATGACAGGTGTGGGTGAATAAATAAAACTAATATAAGTTAACATAAAATTTTTATTTCTTAGTAATTATTCTAAATCTCTATCCAACTTACTCTATTTAATAAACTAAGCATAAGTGAATAAGGCTTTCAAACACATGTCACATCCGTCAAGCAAGCTTGGGCATCTGCAATGCAACAAGCTACAATAAGTTACATCTACTGATATCGAGCTACAACCATAGTTTACAAAAATAGTTTGACAGATGGAAATTTACAAATATTTAAATATTAAAACATAGTAGGTAAAAGAAAATTAGGGTGTTTGTGCTCAATTCAATCTTCATAATTTTCTTAACTGACTTAAAATCTACCTTATATTTATATCTTGTCATCGTCGAAGAGCCGGAAGTATTGAGTATTGGTTGAATATTTTAAAGAATTGTAAAATTTTATTATTCTTTTGCTGATAAATTCATTAACATTGGGTAAATTTAATAAACCACGAAGTTCATCTGATTTATCTTTTTCAAATAACGTGTTTTTAGCTATTATTTTTAAAAATCCAATTTGAAATTGCTGAAATCGCTTGCTCGTTTTTTCTGATATGTACGACAGGGATGAATGCTATTGTAAACGAGTAATTTTAATATGAGGTTTAGGTTTAGGGTTGTGAAGAAGTGACTGAATTAGTAGGATTTTCATATAATTTTAAAGTGCAATGAGTCGTAAATTTCAGATTCTGTCGAATTTAATTTCTTGATAGACTAAATTGCTTGAAATTTTGTTGTATGAAGTTGTACGAAAACCAACTCAAAATGTTTTAGGTAATTTTTTCTTATTTCTTTGAAACGAAAATGATATACAATCGGCTTTGTCGAATTTACTTATATGTTTAATAATTAAAATTCATTTTGTATAATATTTCGCTT